GAGTCAAACCCAACACGCTGTGAGATTTTTTTAGTTGTCCTGTTCCTGGACTCTCTGATGGAATGCCTGCGAAGTGATCGGTGGGTCCAAGTTTTGTCGAAAAAAAAAGAAAACTAATAAAAATTGGATATAAGAAAACAGTAGGCTGCGGTTCTTTCAGGGTGCTCTTGAGTTAACGGGGCCATCGTGATTTTATGAGCTACAAATCAAGGCAGAAACGAGCAATACCAATGACAGCATTGCTGTGCATGACTCGTAGACTGCAAATGATTGCATTGGTATGAAGTTCAACACACTGATTCTTTGAAGTCAGCTGTGACGTGTCATTTGTATCCGTGAATGATTATCGTTTTCCTTATACGGCTGAGTGGCCTAATATAGCACTTAAACACAGTGTAAATAGGATGCAGCGGCCGTTGCATGTAATTCCAAAGTTGTTAAATCTGGACATCGATTCGGGATTAGTTTCGGCTTTCGAATCCCGAATCGTGAACCAGTTAAGCTGGAATATACAGTAATCACATCAGAGTTTTGGTACTATGGAGCGTTATTTAGCTGAGTTATAGGAAATGCAAGAGGAATGACTGCTATCAGTTCACTATACTTTCGGCACTAACAGTTGTACTAAAGAGGAAATATTAGTTTCGGTCGTGTTCACAACCAGCATTACTCTTATACAGAATTAATTTAGTTATTATATTGTAATCAGACTTGAAAATACTATCAGTCAGCTTTTATATAAAATCCTAAGATACAAAAAAGAAGTAAACTAGCGTTATAGAAATTAAAAAAGCAGTAATGAGAATTAAATAAATGAACCATTAACTCAGGCATATTATCCTTGTAGAATATTCTAGTAATCTCGTTATTTGTTTACTATAATTAAGAGCTACGATATTTATTTTCTCTATGCTGTTATTAAAATAAGACAACTCGCGGACTATATATGTATGTGTGGGTGTGGGAAGCTCAGTGTCCTTGGGCATACATGATGTGAATGGAGTCCTCTCCGACCTGTGGTCTTTCTGCGAACGAGTATGGTCACTACTGCCCTTTTACGATAAGTCTACCCACCTTCTATTTCCCCCCTTTTCTGATTGGACATTGGATGAGTCACTCTCGATAGTTTCCCTGGAAGGTGCCGCCACGTCATTCACAAAACGAGAAATAATGAGGCCAACCATGCTTCTACTCACCCGAGATTCGAGCGAGATCCCACCACATAAAACCACAGACACACCACAAGTACGGCCGGTTGCGGAATCCGGGGCCTATTGGAAGGTTAATGTAACAATACGCTATCTTGCAGGCACTCAGGCCAAACGCCCTAAGCGGGGCTGCCCTCATCTGAGAGCTTCCACCTGCCACCCCCCGGGAGCACGAGCGGCCAGATTCTTTGTCACATTTCCCTCACTCCTAGAGTTGGAGCAGACACCTGGGCCCCCTCCAGCGCCCACCTGGCCGCCCCACGTTGCTCCCCAGCGCAGAACCCGAGCTCTAAAACTCACACCCGACTCCGCCTGCGCTTCGGTGGCGCCCACCCACGCCCTTTGTTCCCGGCTACAACTGCGCGCTTCCACTAATGTCGTCCTGTGGTTTGGTTGTGCACACGGCAATGTATCGTGACCGCGGGCTACGGTACACACTTCTGACGCGTCCCCCTTGTGACACGTAACGAGAGGAGGGGTCCTAAACACACACTGCACACACACACACATACAGCACACACACACACACGACGCCACATAGACATACAAAACGCGCGACCACACACACCACAACGACTGACGATGATCCTGTCAAAAGGACATCATCTTAGGCCATCCTAAGCCTTCATGAGATCGTCAGAATCCCTTTTCTGAGGGCCTCAGCGGCCCTCCTCAGGAACAACACCTCGCGCGGGCACCTTTCGTCGCAAGAATTTCCTTTGGAACGATGGCGATATCTGTCATGGTATCTGATGGCGTACGCTGATAAAAAGCACTATGCGATGATCAACGGCTTGTCGAGGAAAACTCTAAAAGCAACTAATGACGTGGTGACAGACGTCTGCTTGATATCTCGGCGATGTGAGAAAGGCGTTTTGTGGTCTTTTGACATCCTGAAAAGAGATCGGCATTGAAGCATCCTTATTTTTTTGCATGAAGTAAAGGGCGATCAATCAACAGACTGCGAGAAAGCTCAATCGTCAGCTCATGTCTTCGAGAAAAAGAGACGATCGACAAAGTACAAAAAGGGACTAAGGATCGAACCCGGCCCACTCATTAAATATTGCTCAAGCGTGTATATGTCTGATATCAATCTTCCGTCTGTCTCTCATTGAAGGAGCGCGGGCAGGCAGCCATTGCGGACGAAAAGAACAAATACGATCGCATCTCAAATAAAAAAAAAGTTAAGAAAAACGTACATACAAATTTACTGAGAATAATTAACGATAAAAAATTAAATAACCACATTACTGGTGGCAAATGACCGATACCTGTGAAAAAAATACAAAACGCCTTATACGCTTGCCAGCATGGGCAAGCTAGACAGAATAAAAATGAGAAAAAAAGAAACGAATATTTACCGAAGCCAGATCAAGAAATAAAAAAAAAAAAAAAAAAGAGGAAAAAAAAAAAAAAAAAAAAAGGAGAGAAAAAGAAAAAAAAAATAATAGAGAAAATTACTGTTAAATTCTAACCCAGATACTATAGGCCCGATAACCAGTTTTAACAATTGAGGAAGTCATTTTTGCAAGTATTAAAACCCGACGTTAACGTCGAAGCCGGAGACAAGAAATAAAAAAAAGAAAAGCGTTTCTTAACATTCTTGCGAGAAATGTAATTACTATATGGGTAATGGTTTACTAAAAATTGAACAAAAAAAAGACCACTTAACGCGTGATAATCTAATTTGTCCATGTCTACGTGGAAAGTCTGAGGCGCGGCACCATCGTGGATGCAGCATGGGCCTATCGAAGAACGGTCAAAATTTCGTAAAAATGTGATGCGAAGAAAAAAAGAGAGCGGATCTATATTTCTTTAATGATTTCATCAATCGAAAGAGTGTTAGACGCGTTGGGATGAAGAAGAGTCAAGTAATTATTGAGTTTCTTGCGCTTCAAGACTACAATAAGTAAATTTTCATCAGTGACACCTTCGGCGATAAGAAGCACAAAATCATCCATTCCAAAATTAGATGTACTGTCAAAAACACGTCAGTCTTTGATCACCAATCCCAATAACTCCAGATCAGAGTAGTCTTGAGTAGCCAGCATGAGGTTCTTGGCTCGGCGTTCCGCAAAACCAGAAACAGATTTAGTGGCATGGGTGTTGTGGGTCACTGTCAATGTCGTCGATGTAAATTTTAAGGTACAGGGGTGTCTGTTAATTGTAAGAAGAAGGCATGATCGATTGTGAGTATTAAGCAAGTTTTTAACTGTGTGATCTTTTGAGATCTTGTCATTGCTCGTGCAATGACAAAGATCTCTTGAGAAAAACAATGACGCAGCAATGACAAAGATATGTCACCGGTTGACGACAGACGAAAGAATCTATGCTGGGGATTATACAAGCGCGAGCCGACACGTACGACAGACAACATGGGACGCCAGACGTGACAACGAGCGGGTTGGCATTACAGAACGGGAATAGCTCGGCAATTTACAGTATCGACCTCCAATCGACCTCCGTTTCAGTTTTCCAAACAGTCATCAAAACTACAGTAGCCATCCTGCGATTCTCTGTTGCTCTTTTTATGAATTAAAATGCCCTGCGAGACTCTACAGGCATGACGGTGGAGATGAAGCTTGGGTTGAGTCCGACATAAAAGAAGAAAGGGAGCGAGGGTTTCTAGTAAAGGTGCAGCACAGATTTCTAGCTAGACTTCTCTACTTTAAGACTTCCGCCACTGCCGCCATGATTTGAAGATTCGTTCTAGCCAGCTAGCTAGACTACTATCTCTACTAGCTAGTAGATTCGAAGATCATCTTTTGTCGCTCTCCCTTGGAACGGATAGCCCAGCTTTTAGTAGCCACCACGAGAAAACCTGGTTGGTGCCGGTACCTGGTAACTGCTCTCCAAAGCACCCCCTCCACGATCCTCGCATGCTTTCCTCGTTGGTTCGCCACGTCGAGACACTGGAGCCATGGAGCCATTGGAGGACAGTCATTGTTCTGTTGCTTTGAAGCTGTGATACTACTGGAGCTTGAACGGATGTGGTATGGTACCGGTACAGGGGCGAGCCCCGATATCCACCACGAGCAAACTGCTCGTGGAAGCACGCACCTCCACGATCCTTGCATGGTTTCCTCGTTGATGCGCCACGTCGAGACAAGGAGGACAGTCTGTCACAGTCATTGTTCTGTTTTCTGTGCTTTCGATGCTGTAGGATCTTTGGAAGCAGTTACTGCCTCGTCACATGCACAAAGATGGATACTTTCTTGGGCAGTTTCTTGTTCTGTGGACCATCTTGTACCGCGAGTAAATTCGGGTCATTAAAGAATTTCCTCGGGGCTTTTTCTTGCGAAAACCAGCTTTTTGGATCGTTCTTTGGATTCTGTTTTGTGAGTCCTGCGGGAGTCACAATTGTTGCAAATGCCACGTATTGATGCCGGCTTCCCTTTGCCTTCGCGATTAGTTTGACACTGTTGTGTCTCTCATGGTGTCAAGGACTCGGGTGAGCCTGTGATTACCACGAGTGGCTAGCTGCCAATCACAGCTGTCTCTTGTGAGTTTAGCGTTGGTGGCAAGCTGTCAAGAAGACGGGATGTGGCGAAGAGCGTGCATCGCCAGTGGTGTCATTTTCGTCTTGCTTCGGCTGTACCAATCAAAAGGATCTTGATCGTCGGCCGGGCATGAATTCGATGTGATTAGCTGAGAATTTCAAAGAGTGATGGAGGGGAGTAAGAATTCCGGAGGAGAACAGAATTTCAGATTCTCGCGTGTGTAGAGTGAGTACTAGAGTCTACGTGAGGCGGAATTCTGCCAATGAGCATGTTCCTTTCGGAATGAGGAAGAATGGAGCTGGGGATGAAACCTGCTTGCCGTGAGAATTGGGCATGTTTCGTGCATGCAGTGGCATTGACACTACTGGTGTAGTTGTATTTCTAGCTAGTAGAGTGAAAGCCTTCTCAAGCAAAGCAAGCAAGCAGAAGACATTAGACAGCAAGCCAACAAGTGAAGTGCTTGTTCTTAGTCTTGTCATTGGCATCATACCCGGCATAGTGAAGCCTTAGGAAAGCAAGCAAGAGACATCCATGAGATAGCACCATAGCAATCACAAACAAACAAACAACAACCAGAACAAGAAGCCATAGCCATAGCTATCATCTCTTAGTATCAATTGCCCAAAGACGACGAAATTTCAGGTGCGTTCCGACTAGCTGACTGTTCATTGGCGATTGTTCTGACTTGACTGTTCAGTAGTTGACTTGACTTGAGTTGTTCCGGTGGAGTGACAGCGTCGCGGTGTGGATGCGATGCGATTCTTGTTCTCACAATCTTCGTTGGATTCTTCATCTTCTATAGCCATGCCCACTGTATCATCATCATCTTCTTCATTTCGTCGACCGCGGCGTCTTTTGTCGACGACTGTAGTGGCTCTGCTGCTGTCGAGCGGTGTAACTCCTTCTCAATGTTTCCAGCAAGTGAGTGGCCTGAGTGTCGTGGAGAGTCGTACTGCCACTCGAAGATTCTTTCGCAATACGGCGGATTCCACCGTTCTTTCCGCTGAAGCTTTGCTGGCACAGAATCCTCTCCTCGTCACTCCCGTTCATCCTCTTCCATCACCACCACCACCACAACACTACGAACCTGATCATGATCACTACAACAGCCACAGCAGTCAGCACTTACAATTGCCAACATGGCTCGCGGATCCCAAAGACGGACTGTGGGAGTCGAACTGGTACGCGCTGGAAGAAGCCATGCTGTCTTCGTTCTTTACTCCCATGGAAACACAACGTCTCCTACAAACCATTGAAACCGCGGCACGTGGCGATCGTCATCAAATGGCTAGCGCTGCGGAATTCTGTCTCATTCTCGTCGAACAAATGGAAATGGGACTTTCCGCGCTCATGGCAGCGGCTGTTCATGTCTGTGCCTGTGTCACGGCACGACAGTATCCTCACCACGAGCATACATGCCATGTAATAGAAGAAGGACACGATGATCAAGCATCCCTCATTGCCCGCGATGCCGGTCGTCTCAAAAAACTCGAAATGGTTGCCGCCATGATTTACTCTCAAAAGTCGGCGTCTCGCGTCACACCCAATGCCCAGGATGCCGAACACTTGCGATCATTGCTACTCACGGAAACCAAAGACTGGCGGGCACTCGCCATTCGAACCGCCGCGGCATTGTATCGTCTCCGCGGCATTTTGGGGCACGCCCTCAAAGAACAACGGGGCGTCGGTGCCCGCGAAATGAATGTACTTTCGGCCGAAGCCCGGCAATGTTCCCGGGAAGCCTTGTACATTTACGCGCCTCTGGCGTCGCGACTTGGAATGCATCGGCTCAAGAATGAACTCGAAGGCGCCGCCTTTCGAATTCTTTATCGACGTCAATACGAAACCGTCAATCGCTTGGCACGCGAACTGCGACCGCGCCATTCCAAGCCGCATCTTAATCGAGGATTGGTCGAAATGTGCGATTCCTCTTTGGATATTTCGTCGTGCATGAAATCCGTCTTGGATTCCGTCAAGACGGACATGACACAGCTATTGCATGCCGATCCCTACTTTTCACAACATGTCGCCGACTTTTCCGTCACGGCGCGTGTCAAGGAACCCTACTCGCTGTGGAAGAAAATGCTCCGCAACAAGTGTCAGCATATTATGGAAGTGCCGGATGTCATTGCACTCCGAATTGTTCTCGAGGCCAAAACTACCGACGAAGAAGACGAAGCTTCCCGACAAGCCAAGGAAGTCCAATTGTGCTATTATGCGCAACAACTCTGTATGCAGATCTGGCAGCCCGTCGCGGACAATCCGCGATTCAAGGATTATATCGAATGTCCCAAACCAAATGGGTATCAGTCCCTTCATTACACGGCCCATACCATGTGGGACGAAGAAGATTGGCATTTGGAGATTCAAGTACGATCGGGAGAAATGCATCAAGTCGCAGAATTTGGACTTGCCAGTCATTGGGATTACAAGGCCAATCAAAAGAGTCAACAGGAAGCAACAAATGACAATACCAACAGCAACATCAACCATGACAGCAACGAGTACTACTATCAGGAGTACTACGAACAACAACCCGACAAGAATGAAGTCCACTACGAACAACAAAAATCCGTCAGCGACGATTACCTTCGTTGGGTTCATCAACAGCAGCAACAACATGAACTTCCATTGGAAGATTTTGGACAACAACACGTCACGTCGTCGTCCTTGGAAGCATCCGAACGTGCCGATCGTATTCGGGCTCGCACCAAGAAGTTGCAGCCCTACATTGAAGCCTTGACGGCAGCTCAATCCGATTTGGCACGCGAACACGTCTTTGTCTTTTTGACTACACCCGGTGCCGAACAAGGCGACGACAGTCCGGGAACCGTATTGGCATTGCCGTCTGGATCGGTCGTTTTGGATGCTCTCCGTCAAGGCGAACAACAATTGGGAATCACCATGCCCGATGTCATTGGACTCAATGGAGAATGGTCCGACAAGTTGACTTCCAAACTCCAGAATGGAGATATTCTCACCGTGCCAATGTTGGGATACCCGTATCCACAACAACAAACCATGGCATGAACACACGTTTTTGGACAGAATCACGCACGCACGCACAGTTTTGCTTCGTCTCACTCACTTACTTTGTCCGAGTAGCATCACCGTCATTAGAAACAAACACCCGTCATTCGTATATAATCATAACTATAACATCCCAGTTTTGAAATGGTCGTTCTTAGTAGGCCAAGTAGTGTAAAATAGAGGAGCAAAGTTGCGTGACTTGACTCGACTCGTTGTGCTCAAGACCCAGCTTGCCAGCTGTCCACAGCTTTGCCGCGCGGTATCCTCACCAACCGAGCCATGACTTTTGGTGTTTCGTACGCTACTACAGCGGACGATGGAGAACGTAGCTTCAATGTGACCCACTTCCATAGTGCCTTCCTACAATCGAGTCCTACTATCTTCACGTAAATGCATACCGGTAGCTACACTAATCTGGTTCGTCATGCTCTTTGCCTACCGGTATTGTACCAATGGCTTCAACGAAGGTCCACTACGATGACTGGCTGGTTCTCTTCCTTCTAGCTAGCCTCCTCATCGCCATCAAGCCGCTGCAACCTTGGCCAGTTCATGACTTGAGAACCTACATACATGCTCAGGAGCTCCAATCTGGAACTTCAGCCCAACCTGCTGGAGGTACGGTACGGTAGTCTTCTTGTGGTGGTGCTGCTAGGAATATTTGCTGCCATTTGCAACCCAGGGTCATGAGATCGCCTAATAATAAACTGTGAACCTGCAATCGAAGTAAGAGGTGTGTCGTCAACCACTTGATTCTGGACCGGCTTCGAGGCTCAAGAGAGAAAAAGCTCAAGAGAGGAAAAACTTTAGAGGCTGTAGTCGCTCGTATGTCGCTCGGCTGGTGCCAATAGCAAGCAGCTCATCCTCCATATGGCTGAGTGACTGGCTAGCTAGATAGGACGTACCAGTAGGAGGGTTCACCTTTGCTGTCAATGTCTCTCGCCGCTAAGACGCCAAAAAGCAAATGATCTCCTCCCACAGGAAGCAAATAGTCCAGCAGTTTGCTCGCTCAGCTGATCCGGCAAGATTTCAGAAGTCACATGGCTATATCCATTCAATTGCTGCCTGGCTGCCTACAAGACTTACTGTACAAGCACCTCTCATTGCGGCATGCCTCAATTGGCACCACCTTCGAAAGACCCAGCAGGAAAGGACGGATCTTGCTTGGGTGTACGTACGGGCAGCTCGAGAGGGCTGCTGTAGCTAGCTCTACAGATAGCAAGGTCAAGTCTAAGAGGTTGCTCGATCCTTGCCCACAAATCAAACAAAACAAAACAAAACAAAACAAAAGACAACATTATACTAGTATACATACATCATGAAATTCACATGGCAGTAGAACAAACGGCCAAGTGGACGGCCCGGGATTTCAAGTGGGGGGCCCGGGATTACACTTCGGGCATATGCAAAAATCCCATTGTGGCCAACTGCGCCATTCCCTCGGGGTACGCTTCCAAGGTCGATGATCGTATGGAGGACCACTAGATGTAAACTGTGAACCTGCAATGGACCTAAGTGCGTGTCAACTACTGGATTCTGTACTCGTAGCGAGGCTCAAGAGACGACAATGAGCAAGAGCTTTGGACGCTGGCACATACTCCAGTCAACTGGTGCCAGAAGCAACCAGCTTATTCATACCGGTACGGCTGACTGACTAGCTAGTACATGTACCGTAGCCCAGTAGGAGGGTTCACCTTTGCTTGGGTCAATGTCTCGCCCAAAAGCAAACGATCTCCTCCCGCAGGAAGCAAATACTTGCTTGATCAAGCAAGACTTCAGAAGTCACATGACTATAGATCCATTCAATTGCTGCTTGGCTGCCTACAAGACTTTTCATTCCAATGGTTGCTTTCGTCCGATCTGGCCGCCGCCGAATGTGCTGGGTTCACTCTCCCATGCAGTGGGTAGAGTGATATCGAAAGGATTGAGACGCCACCCGCACTGCATGTTCCAATAGAGAGGCGGAAGCAATCACATCACGTTGTGGACTAGCAGTGCAGTCCGAAAACCAGTACTACCGTATGCTCATATATGCTCGCATCGTACATGGTACGTACAGTTTGCAGAGGAAAGCCCCTCGTAGTCAAATCCCGGTACAGTACGGTAGGACGAATGTTGGTGACAGCTGTTCTGAGAGCAAGCGCCGGTAGCGGGGGCGATTTACTAGTGGTCTTTGAGAGAAAAAACCCGCATCGCTCAATCCATCGTGGGCGCAAAGTTGATTTTGCCTTGGACAATCCAACCGTAGACTTCTCCGTTCTCCGTTCTCCGTTCTCCGAACGCCTTTGCTGCTTTTCGGTAAGGTGAACCTTTGGAGCTCTGGAGCTTGGCTGATGCTGGCACATGATCGTGGCGTCTTCACTTACTTACATGACGAGATTAATCGACCCTGGCCAGGTCGCAGCGGCTGCTCTTGAGCCTCGACAACCCTTGACAACTTGGCATGCTGACCAGGAACCAATCGTTTTTGCTGTCGTGTGAAACAACTCCCACGATGAAGCGACTAATATCAAATCATGAATAAAGTGTACCGCATATAAGATTTAATGATGATGCTACCCGAGCTACAATCAAATAGTACCGTAATCTTTTCCAGACTCATCTGAAAGACTTCTAAGTCTTTCTCATCAACTCTTGGTCCATTGATCATGAAAGGGCACCAAACTCGTTGGTTAAACGTTTCAATTCTTCTTGTTATTGCTTGACATTGATGAGACCTCTACGAAGCCTCGTCACACTTGCCGTGTCTTGGCGGTTGGGCTATGTTGCGGAGGTGGCAAGGCCCAAGGAAAGCAAAGACCATATGAATGTAAGGCTTTGCTTCATCATCATTCTTGCTGTTTGTTGTTTCGATCTTCAAAGTAGGAAGGAGAGCTAAGCACTGTCTGTTCGAGTAAATTCCTCATTGTGTGGGTGGGGATTGAATTCTGTTTTGTGTAGAAGTTGCAATATGAAGCGTACCTGTACCTTACCAGTTTCGGACGGTACCATACCATACCAGTTCTCCTTCTAGCTGCGATTCGATTCAACTTGGTTAATTAACTGTCTTGAGTTCATGTAATATTCGTTCATGCTTGCTATCTACCTTCTAACAGGTGATCATTACGTCTCCTTGCCGACTTGCCGAAGTGGAACCAATCACACTTGTTTGCACAGCGGCATGGTTTCCTACAATACAGTGAGTAGAGTAGTACCTGGTACTTTGGAATGTTGGATGATGGAACTATTTTGATAAGAATCACTCTTCTTAAGTCCTTCTCATCAACTCTTTTACTGGAACCGTCTTGCCAGAGTGGTGGGTGCCGAGTATCAGCCCAATAACACTTGTTTGTACAGTGGCATGGTTTGCTTCAAAACAGTGAGGAAGCACGGAAGAAGAGAGCACGAGAAAGTGTAAGTTCCTGTCCCAGGTGGATTCCTTTGACACGAGCACAAGCAACCATAGCAACAAAAAGGCCTTCTTCCACCTCCAAGCTCATAATTTGAATTCAGCAAAAATCACAAACCAGCAACACGCCTACACACGGTACTACCAACACCAACAACAACATGAAGTTCCAAAACGCATGGAGAACCACCACGCAACCCAAACAGGGACGGCGGAATAGAAAAGCTTCACTTCTAGTAGGTCATCAATCCACCACTGCAACAGAACTTGCCCGAAGTAGCCCGGAAGACCCAGCCCGAGAGTTCAAGGAACGGGGCGACCGGTTCATGGCTCAAAGACAATACAGAGATGCGTTCCAACAATACTCCGAAACACTGGCAGTACGAAAGGCCAAATTGGGAGAAGAACATTCCCTCGTAGCTGATGCTTACTGCGTCATGGCTTTTAGCCGCCAAGCCGAGGGACAATTAGTAGTATCATGGAAGTTCTACAACCTTGCACTGGAAATACAGTGCAAGTTGTTCGGTGATGACTCTCTGCCAGTTTCCAAGACCTACACATCCATTGGATTGCTCTTGAGTGAAATGCGCAGATACGAAGATGCCATTCTGCACTATCGCATGTCACTGCAGATCCAAGAGACTGTCAAAGGTGGTGACCGCCTTTCCATTGCCAAGATCAACCTGAGCTGTGGCAATTGCTACCGCAAGCTAGGGGATTACAACAACGCCAACTGGTACTTGAAGAATGCTTTGAGTGGCTTTGAACGCTGTTCCGGTGACAAGATTCTTGAAACTGCTGCCTGCTACACCTCACTGGCTCTAGTCTTCCAAATGCAAAACCAGTATGAGATGGCCTTCCAACACCATGAGTTGGCCATGATTACCCGAAGTGCCTACAGGGAAGGTATGCCACTTGAGATTGCTGCCGGCTACGTAAACATGGGTCGTTGTCGCAAGGGACAATGTCGATTTGAGGAAGCCATCGAGTTGTTTCGAAATGCCCTGATTGTCCTCTTGGTAACATACGGAGAGAATCACCCAGAAACAGCTACTTGCTTGGTCAGCTTGGGAAAGTGCCTACAGGAACAGGATCAGATCGAGGAAGCCATGAAGCACTATCACCAGGCTGAAGCTGCTCTGGTGAACTCCTTAGGCGAGACCGCACCACAGTTGGTTCAAGTTTACGGAAAGTTGCACCAATGTTACCTCAAGATGGATGACACGGACAGGGCTTCCAGCTACAAGAAAAAGGCAAAAAGAAGTTTTCCTGAGCTCAAAGCTGGTAAGGAAATGGGGGCATCCAAGCATGCCACCCACAAGCAAACCAAAGAATCCACCAAGCCAAAGAGCGTGAAGGGAGCCAGACCCGCCATCAAAAGGTCGAACAGTGCCGTTGCGGCCTGAACACGACACGTTTTGGACACTAATGATAATTTGTAAATATCACAAAGGGAAGGGTTGCACCCTGATGAAAACTAAAGATAGTGCTTGCTATTGCTATTTTAATATATGTTATGATAAAGTACATCCTTCCATGCTCATAGCAGCAGTTCGACGGTACCAGTACCTGTTTTGTTGTCAGTGTGCACGTACAACACGTTTAATGAAGCGAACCTTTGTTTTGTGTCGTCAAAGTTTGCAGGCTCGAACGCCTCTCTCGCTAGACCATGTCACAAAGGCCCAGGTCAAACCAATCTTCAGTCTGTTCGGACCCATCCTGGCAGGATCTTAGTTCTTGGTCAACGAGATCTCCCACAAAAGACCACGAACCCGCCGAGGAAGCGGTGGCGCCTCCTGAGCTTCCGACTTCATCCCGACCAGCGTGGTTGCTTCCGTCGTCGTCATCGTCGTCGTCGTCGTGTGCTCGTTGACTTTCCGCTAGGACTTCGACAACTGTAGAGGGGTCATTTTCTTCGCGCAGAAGCGCATCCTCTTCACCAGTGCTGGGGCTTTCAATGTCCACTTTGGCATCATTGTAAAGCACAGTCTGATTTCCCTCCGAATTCTCAACCCCCGTTAACGGGGCCTCATCTTCGTGCAGCAGTGCATCCACTTCAGCACTACACGTACCATCCACTTCGGTATCAATTGTGGACGGGGGCTTGTCTTCGAGCAGTGATGCATCAGCCATGAGCACTGGCGCTTTCGCCGAGACCTCTACAAATGCAGGGGAGGCCTTGTCGTCGTACAGCGGCGCATCTACTTCTGCTTGATGGTAAAGCGCGCTCTGGCTTCCATCCGACTTCTCAACCACTGTTGACGGGGCCTCGTCTTCGTGCAGCGAAGAATCAACTTCAGCCCTACCATCCATTTCGGCATCAACTGTAGACGCGTCATCCATGAGCGCTTGTTCTTCTTCAGCCATGAGAGCTTGTTCTTCGGCCATGAATGCTTGTTCTTCAGCCATGAGCACTTGTTCTTCAGCTGTGATTTCGTCATCCCCTCCCAGCAAGAAATCCAGCGCCAACTCTTCATTCCAATCGGATCTAACCAAGGCAGCAAGGGCGTGACCCTTGTCGAATCCCATGTCCATAAATCTGGTCACCCTTTTTTCAGTACCAGCATAGATGGTCGTCATGTACTCGGCCTCGTTTACAAACCGGATTCGATTTTCCCGAAAGTCATCCGCGGCGTCTTCGTTTCCAGGTGAATCATCCACAATCGGATCTTCCATGACAGCAAATACGGCAAGCAGTAAACTGTGAAGAGTCCACGCAGGATTCCAGGCATCCGTAAAGCAATCAAGAACCACCTTGCCGCTTTCCAACACCACGTTGGGATGCCAAATGCTGGTTTCGAAATGGAACGACGGCGCCGCGAAGGGATAGTCTTCAGGAACCTTTATCTGGAGAGTTAAGATCCCTTTTCTGTACGGAGAGTTCAGAGGCCCCGCAATCACGGCTTGGAAGGTGAATGGGTCGTCTCTGCTTGGGAACACATGTAGTCGGCCTCCAGTGCTCTTTGTAATCCCATCGGTATCATGCAGCATCTGGGCTTTCTCCTGCTCCAACCTTCTCATCAATATATACACCTTGTCTTCACTCATGGTCGTTGTTGGCTGTCTGTGCTCCAGTTATAATGGCGGCTGGGAGGGGGGAGATCAATCAATGAGGATGTACTGTAGGTACCTTCGCTATCTGGAAACCTCTCTCTTTCCTATCCCCTTTCCACTTTCCATCAAGACAGCGTGGCGAGATACTTTAGAATAGAAGTTTACCATACGGTATTTTGAATCGGGTTTACTATGGATTAGAGAGAGCTAAGAGGAGGACGGAGACAGAGGTCAAGGGGGGCACGACGCAGGAACGCAAGGCAGGCAATCAAGGGCGCAAGCAGGGCAACATGGAAACCAAGGATAGGGGTGAAGGCAGGAGGGCAGGGAGGAGCAAAGGAGCAAGACTAGCGGAAGAGATCGAGGGCACCACAGTCATCCCAACGCTTGGAAACCTTGAGAGCGGAGACACGGGAGCCTCTCAAACACAATGTCGTGGCACGGGCAAGAGCTATGCTCAACCTGGCCGAGATATGGTATGCATTGCTTCTTTCGTGCGACAGACCGCAAATGGTTGTTGTATGATTGTGTTGCACGACTGGTTGTTGATTGTGTTGCAAGCTGGAAGCCCTAATCTTAACGCTACGTATTGCTACGTCCGCGCGCGGCGGGGTGTGTGCGGGCAGATTTCGCATCGTGACACCGCAAGGAACGGAAACTGCCAAGCTACCAGCGGGAAGACAGGTAAACTTTACTCATGAAGACTTAAGGAACACCACGTTAATCCTTTGAAAACCTTCTATTCATCTACCGTAATAGCACCTACTGTCATCAGTGCTGGTGCCATAGTGCCATACGGCTACAGTGCTTGTTGTTGGATAACCTGCCAAACCTGACAATATTCTCTTCTATCTACTACTAGCTAGCTATTAGTATGTTGTCGTTGTCATCTATCGGGCACAGGCTATTAGTAGCGATAGCGTAGTGACTTCCTGTTGTCGCCGTAGTGGTAGCAGCAATACTTGTAGCGGTTGTGTGGTCGTTCAGTTGTTATATCGATTGCTTCGGTTGACTGGCTTCGGTGTACTCTTGTTTCTTCTCCCAGATCTTTCAAAATCACTGCTTTGCCAATGGACGCAACTCGTTTGCTGCGTTTGGCGCTTTGCACTCCCTAGTTTTCAAAGCGCAAGTTCTTGTGTGACAGTCTTGCCGTCGGTCTTGCATGACAGTCCTGTCGTCGGACCATTCGATGCAGTGTAATCGGCCTGTAATTCCTCGTCTTTCTGTGCCGGATTCTTTCCGTCGCACCTCTCCTCTATCAGCACTCATTCGATCGTCTGATAGTGGGGCTAGGAACTCCCACAGAAGTACCTCTGTGGCGATTCTTCTTCTAGTGTAGATTCGGACACGCGGATTCGGACACCTTTGGCTTCTGAGCTTTCATTGGTGGTATCATTAGGGGAAGCTAGGTCTGTCTGGGCTTTGGTCTGGGCTCTGGAAATGACTTCCACCACTGCCACTGATGGCAGAAGGTCCAAAAACAAGAGAAAAAGGATACCTCCAGTTCATTAGCCGCTCAGATATTACACAGCCACAAAATAGACTTCTAGTTGCAACCGCTGTGACCGCCATGTCTTGGTTGACAAAGTTGGCTTTGAGAGTATCCTCTGGATGCTGCTAGGAGTGTGACAAAGTGGCCATCTATGAAGGAGGGAGGTGTGTCCAATAAAAAATGAGGCTTGACGGCTTGTTTTTATTGTGATGCTGTTTCAAGCACGTTTTCTCTGGCGAGTTGCGAAAGGGTGGGAAATTTTGAATTGAATCATTGGATTCAAATGCTGTTTTGGGATGGTTCCATGCTGTTCCGTGCCTTCAGTCAACTTTACCTGTCTTATTTTACTTTACTGGTTTCGCAGCTGGTAGCAAGGGCTGTCACAGTTGCACAGGGTTCTGGCTCGGGACGAAGCATTTCACCCAAAGAGGCTAGAAAGGGATGAAAAGATCCGCGGCAGAACTCGACCCGCATGGGCCTTGGAGGTCTTCTATTGTGGGAATGAAGTTAGTTTGTCTAGCTAGCTAGCACACTGTGGACTCTCAGAGAGATGGCAAAAAGATCTCTTGATCCGCTTACTGGCTGTATTGTAACGGCAACGGATGGGAGGTAAGTGCCGTACAAGTCTTGTTACAAGTGATGGGAGTGATGTGCGTCAGCTATGTAGCACTCCGAAGAGGAAATGGGAAGAGTAGTACAAAACTATCACTGTAACTTCAGTGACGATTGGACCTCGCTTTTGCTTTGGTTCAGCGTTGGGCTGCACGTACGTAGAAAGCAACTCATACCATACCCAAGCTATCGGCGCCATCCATAGCGAAGGAAGCAATATGCAGCAACCCCAAGTAGTCAATACAAAAATTAATTGATGGCCAACCCCTGGAATGGTTGATATTTGTTCCTTGGATCAATTTTGCAAAACTGGTGCGGTATCGTTTGTACAAGCCATTGATTGCGAAAGAAATCACAAGGGTGGGGAGATGAGGACCTTCTCTTCTTGGTTGGAACAAGCTTAAGGTTCATCATCATAACCATCATTGAGTGGTGCACTATGTTGTCGTTGTGGTTCCTGTTGTAGTGGTTTGAAACTTTTGGCCTCTTCGACCTCCTCCATGTGGAAGGATGGGGCGGATGGTGATTCCATGGAGGGTTGCTATTGTTTGTTGGGATTTGTTGTCGTGTGAATTTGTACTTGTGGAGTTTGCTGTTGTGGTTGTTCAGTGCTTGGTGTGGGCTTGGCGTTTTTGGAGCAGATTCTGGAGATAGTGGACATGGCCGGTGGTGGTATACGTGCCACAATTTGTTTGTAGATCCAAAAAATAGACTTGTCTGGTTCTACAGTTCTCCATCGCTTGGCTTTGCCCCGTGCTGTTGTAACATCCAATCAATCAATCAATCAATCGATCGAATTTCAATGAGTCAAACAAACAAAGACAAGATAGGAGAGTTTAGCATCTGTTCCGTCAATCAACCAATCGATCCACAACATCACACAACAACCATCCCGTGGAACCACTTACTGTAAATGAAAAAGTTGAAAAAACCCTACGATCCATTATAAAATGAGAGCAAAATAGCTCGGTGAGATCAAACAATCCAATAAATACATAAATCACTGTGCCATCCCCTCCTTCCAGCTGGTCGGGAAATCACTTGCCTGAATGGGGAAAAATACAAAAAAAAGGATGGTCAAGGCGTAAAAGCCCGGTTCTAGCTTTTTGTGAATCAGCTCTGAGCTCTTGAATGCTTGCGACACGATGATGGTCATGAGTGGCCAAAAGAAGCTTTGAAAGTATGCCAATGTGTAAAGGACGGCTTGGATTCCCACCTCTTGAATCCGTTTGTTGTTGGGATCATCTGTTGTCGTGGTGGAAGAGATGGATCTAGCTGCAGTGCTAGTTTGGCTGGTTCGGTCGTTGTTATTTTCAAATCGATATTGGCTGCTCTTTTGGAGGGTGCTTCTGACTTTGGCAAACACCAGAGCCGCTGTGAGGAATCCTGCCATGGAAAACAAAAAATAGATGGGTCCCGACATGGTCACGAGTAGTTTAAAGGTGGACTCGGACGATCGGGTACACTCGACCTCTGGCGAATCAATACATCCCCAGGGCCAGGTCGCATAGATACAGAGATTGTTAATAGCGGGTGTGGGATTGATGGATTGTGTGGCGACTGCGGCCACTTCAATGGCCAAGGTGGCGAAGATGGCCACGACATGCCCTGCCATTTCCAAATGGGGTCGTCTGGCAAAATCGGCTTCTCTCCAATTTCGTACGACAACCAAATAGTAGTAGATGCTTAGATAGGCATTGTAACAACATCCCATTTTGCTGCCCACCAGCATGAAAAAGCCAATGCCGGCACATGAAGCGAAACTGCCCACAGCACCTGCTAACCCCAAAAAGGAAGGAATCAAATATGGCATTACCAGGAGACTCATACTAGAAATCCAGTCGGACAAACTCAGACAAAACAGCAGTCGATGCATCAGTTTGGTGCGCACCTCCGGATAAGCCATGTACATGATACAGGAAGACCCAAGCAAGGACAACAAACTCGACAAAGAACCAATCAACAAGACGGGAATGTATCGAGCATCTTCCAACACAGGGATTGACCCATTGTCAAACAACTCGATGGACATCTTGTAGTGTTGGATGGTCTTCTCCGGCTCTGATAATTGTGATGGAACAGCTGAACGCAGGCTCTTTGGCGCTTCTTCCATGGAACAGATCGATGCGACGGCTTGAGGGTCTCCAACCTTATTTCCCTGTTTGCCAAGGTAACCGGAGTTACCGCTCCGCCGGCTTAAACTTTCGAAGCGCCAACCCTACGATTCGATTCAAATCGAATTGACTTGACTTGTTTTGAGGTGATCCCGCAAGAATGATTCAATCCTGTCTTGCTGTGTGGCCAGTTCTCGGCATTGGTTTTTCATGATGTGAAGCCCTCCAACCCAGTTTGCGCCAAGAACAAATTGCATCAAGCTGATGCCAACCAAAAGGTTCTTGGAATTGGCAAGTCTGCCAAAACAGGTAGCTAACTATCGTGCATGGCTGGTGGTGGACACGGGTGCGTGCAGCCCAAAGCTTCGTTTTGGCTGGCTACAGTCCGTATTGGCTGGGTGTGGTTTTGCAAGCTTGAATGATTGAGGTCTCCGTCAAAGAACTTGAAGGGCCCCTCCTCCTCCTGGTGGATGAAAGTTTCCGTCATTACAGGCATGTCGGCCCACAAGACCTGGAAGTGGCCCGTTCTTCACGCAAAGAAACGTGCTTGACTGGATCGAATCAACGTGGTGACCTTCTAACATCATGGATTGTAGGCCCACTAGCTAGAGCTAAAAGTAACTTGTTTGACTTGGCCAGCTCAAGTTATGGTTGCTACGGTATTGCTAGCTAGCTAGAAGCAGTTCTAACCGAAACCCACGAAGGCAGCCACCAACAGGGTTACGGTGATGGAATGATCATCCCTACCCTTGTTTCTTTGAAAGACGAGCTCCGAATATGGTATCTTGGTATCTCGAGGTACCGGCAACCTTCTTGCTCCAAAGCACGACAAAATGAACCATACAGCACCACCTTAGCAGGTCAATCTGTGATGGCGTGTTGTAAAATTCGTTCCCCTACGGTGGCTTTCTTGACGGTCGGATTGTGTTGTTGAAACTATAAGGTCTGAATTATTTGTTCTATAACGATACAATCTATCTTCTGTGAGATGATACAATATTTATTATGTGCAGTATGTGCAGGATCTGTTTGTTGTTGCAGACGACGCAGTACTATGGTACTCCTAGTTGCGTTTTATTCAAACACCGTTTCCATGGGCGGAAGGGATTGGGAGCTGGTTCGATGAGACGAAGAAGAGGCTTTGTAGATTTCTTGGTGTCGTCGGCGCTTGCTGCTTCTAGTATTATTTGTGGAGGGAACTTGTCCGATGCCTTCAATACTGATGCTTTCGGTGCTGGCTCGGGTGGGTGATCGTTGGCGACTGCAGGCGTTGCGGGGTGTGTTGGCGGGAAGGACCCTCCGTCTCGACGGGCTGGGAGCGTTGTTGCTCTTATTTCCAGAAGGGATGATTCCCATGCCTCGAATGTATGTGGTGGTGGTGGTACTCATGTGGGTGGATGAATGAGGGTGGTGGTTGATGTTTGGGGCAATCTTTTGTTCTGGTGGTCGGTTGGAAAAAATTGTGAGCAGACTTGGCTGCAGAGGTCAAAGCTGTGTGTCGTTTTTGTCCAAACAAGCGTAGAGCTCGGAACTTGGGACTGGACCTTTTGGATCTTGGTGGGTTGTTGAAGGTAAATCTGCTTGTGCTCCTCAAAATTGGTGTATAGATATTTGAGTACAATCATACTCCGCGTTCTAGTTTTTACGACAGTCTGGTTTGCCCGATATATCGACAGTACAAAATTGGATAGTACAGGAATTGGGTTGCTGGTTTCCACATGAACATGGTGACATGGTGAAGCTCTGGCGAATAAATGACTAAAGCCCTACTTCCAACCCAGCAAGACGGGATTATTACGGGATCAGCTTTATCGCTTGATCCCATACGTGCATGTGCTGCAGCAGGGTTGGGAAAAGGTTGGAGTTTCTCTTAGGGTTAAATTAAGGATCAATTCAAAACGACACCGTCACCTTGTAAAAGTTGACCAGTGATAAGTCACAGCCATCGCATGCAAGAGCCATGGCAATTTGAGGAAGAGGCAGAGTCCACAAGAGGTGGAGACGACCATCCCAACACTTTGCTACTCCTACGCTACTACAAGATGTCCCTCGAGGAGTTGTTTGCCAGTGGGTCTGTCCCCATGTTGGAAGATGCTCGATACATTCCGGTCTTGTTGATTGGTTCTTTGTCGAGTTTGTTGTCCTTGCTTGGGTCTTCCTGTATCATGTACATGGCTTATCAGGAGGCAAGAACAAAACTGATGCAACGACTGCTGTTTTGCCTCAGTCTATCCGATTGGATTTCCAGTATGAGTCTCCTGGTAATGCCATATTTGATTCCTTCCTTTTTGGGGTTAGCAGGTGCAGTGGGCAGTTTCGCATCGTGTGCCGGCGTTGGCTTTTTCATGCTGGTGGCCAGCAAAATGGGATGTTGCTACAATGCCTACCTCAGCATGTACTACTATTTGGTCGTTGTACGAAATTGGAGAGAAGCCGATTTTTCCAGACGACCGCATTTGGAATTGGCAGGGCATGTCGTGGCCGTCGTGGTTACTTTGGCTATTGAAGTGGCTGCAGTCGCCACACAATCCATCAATCCCACTCCTGTCATTAACAATGTCTGTATCTATGCGACCTGGCCCTGGGGATGTATTGATTCGCCAGAGGTCGAATGTACCAGATCGTCCGACTCCACCTTTAAACTCCTCGTGACCGTGTCTGGCCCAATCTATTTTTTGTTTTCCATGGCAGGATTCATCACTGCGGCTCTGGTGTTTGCCAAAGTCAGGAGTACCCTCCAAAAGAGCAGTCAATATCGATTTGAAAATAGAACCAGTCAGACGACAACTGCTGTGAGAACCAGCAATGGAGCGGTATCCTCTACTACGACAACATCGGATCCCAACAACAAACGCATTCAAGAGGTGGGAATGCAAGCCGTCCTCTACACATTGGCATACTTTCAAAGCTTCTTTTGGCCACTCATGACCGTCATCTTGTCCCAAACATTCAAAGACTCGGAGATGATTCACAAAAAACTCGAGCCAGGCTTTTATGCCTTCACCATCCTCTTTTTTGTATTTTATCCCATTCAGGCAAGTTCTTTCGGATCATGCACTTTCGATGGCAGAGTGTAATTGGGTTAATCTCACCATGCCTTTCTGGCTCTCGTTCATTTTATGGGCCATAGGGTTTTTTCAACTTTTTCGTTTACAGTAAGTGGGTCCATGGATGAATGGATGGTGTGTGATGTTGTGGATCGATTGGTTGATTAATGGAACAGATGCTAACTCTGCTATCTTGTCTTTGCTCGTTTCACTAATTGTGTTAATTTGATTTGATGTTACAGCACGGGTCAAAGTCAAGCGATGGAGAACTGTAGAACCAGACAAGTCTATTTTCTGGATCTACAAACAAATTGTGGCGGGGATACCACCACCAGCCACGTCCACAATATCCAGAATCAGCACCAAATATACCAAACACACACCAAGCTCGGAACAACTGCAACAACCACAAGTACAGTTTAGCACAACAACAATTCCCCACCACCAACAACAACAACCCGCCATGGAATCATCGTCTGTCCCCTCGTTCCAAATGGAGGAGGACGAAGAGGCCAAAACTTCGGAACAACTGCAAGAGGAAGAACCACAACAACCTACTACACCACTCGAGGATGGTGATGGTTATGATGATGAACATTAGCTTGGTTCCAACAATAGGCAGTCATATCCTCCCAACCCCATCGTTGTTTTGATTGCTTACGCAAGCAACCGGCTTCTGGAAACGGCACGGTACCAGTTTTGCAAGCCAAGACATGTGGAGGGTATGATTGATCCAAGGAACAACCATTCACCAGCCCGGGTTGGCCATTTGACTGCATTATGGGCAACTTACTACTCGGGGTTCCTGCATATTCCTTCCTCCGCTCTCTGGACGGCACGGATGGCTGGGGTATGGTAGTATGCGTTGCTTGTGTTGATGCAGCCCAATGATGCACCAAGCAAAAGCAAGGTCCCATCACAGGAGTGATGATAGTTGTACTATAGGACTCATCTCATGTCCTCTTCGGGGTACAGTCAGTGAAACTGCTGCAAGTCTTTGGCACTGTAGCGCTTGGTGCAGGCCAATGCTGCACCAAGAAAAAGCAAGGTACAATCCCATTTGTTTTACAGGTCAGAGGAGTGATACTTCTGCTACGGTGCAGTATCTACTCCTCACCCCGTTTCCTCTTGGGGGCACTAGCTGGCCAGTGGAAACGTCATGTCTGGCTATCCAGTAGAGCATAACGCATAACTAGCTAGATTAGAAGACGAACCGCATGTCATCGTGTACGGCCATTTCGAATGAGATGTTGCCGAAAGGGGGTGATGGGCTAATAACCTCCAAAAGAAATAGGATGGATGTTACGATGGAACCAGCTCGGCCGCATATGCATACCGTACGGCCTTGTATAGTTAGTTATTACCGAAGGCAGGTACCGCTAGCTACTTCAGAGTTCCTGGCTACTAGCTAGCTAGAGGCTCCTTGGCCTACCTAGCTAGCTAGCCAGTACCGGTACCGCTGTCAACAGATAGATGCTACTATCCCAGCAAGCAAGCCATGAATGTACTCTGCCTCATTGGCTTTTGCACGTGTACCACCAAGCAATAAGGAGGAAGTTTGCTTGTCTGGCTCTGACTAGGTTTGGATCGGAGTGTCCATTGTTGATGGCACTGCCGCAACGTAACAGCTCTGGCAATTTTTGGTGAGTACCTGTTGTAGCGCAGCTTGTAGCTACAAGAATGTGTCAAGTGCCAAGTGCCAAGCAATGAGATGCTACCCCAGCAGGACATACTTGCTCTGTCTTTTGTGCCGCCGAGCAATAAGGAGAGAGTTTGACTGACTCGACTCGGCGAGCAGTGGCAGGCTGTGTTCATTTTGCAGTCCTTGAAGGCACTGCCACAGGACACAGGAGTTCCAGCAATTCTGATGTTTCAGGTTTGTCCGAACCTTTGGGCTGAGTCAGCTTTGTCAACGTTGCTCTCGCAGCCAGTTACATACATGTAGCCAGACCCACTTGTCTCTGTCGCAAGCTAGCTACCATTGAACCGTCCGCACCAGGCAATAAGGAGGAGTTGAAGGCTTGGATCAATGGGTTCATTATTGATGGCACTGACAGCTCCAGCACTTTTTGTTGGGTTGCACAGCATGAAATACATGCATGACATGTACCGGTACCGGTAGAAAGGTAGTTTGGCTTCGGACTGAGTCAGCTTGGGTCAGTGTTGAGCCTCTAAGTCAATCCTCGTAGAAAGATACAGTATCAGGCCCAAAATGAGCCCACGTCAGTAGTTTGGTGCCTATTTACTGTACCGGTAGTGGCGTGGGAGTGGATAATAACGTCAATAGCCAAACTAAAAACCCCTTTCATCTGATACTATGGAAGACAAAGTAAACCTCTTCCGCGACTACAATGACTCCTAAGAAAACAAAAATGAGGTTGAACTGCCCCTCTTGGCCGATGTTTCCACCTCATCAGCCAGTCAAAACGATTCAAGGAAACAAAACTCTTGCATCAGCATGTACGTATGTCTTTGTGCAATGGCATCTCCCTAGCTAGTACTAGCTAGCTAGTCTACTCGTAGTCCTACAAATACATTATTGAAGTCTGAAGGTGATCAAGAGCTTGTCGCCATTTCTCAAAACCTCAGTGGTTCACAAGGTTGCTACCCCTCCCTCCATTAGCTTAGCTTAGGTCTGAAGCTTCAGCTCTGTTGGGTATATACCCTTTTTCTACCTGCCATCACATTAAAGTTCCTTGCCTTTTGTGGTTTTTTTAAGTTAGTCAATCATGTCCTCTCGCAGCGGCACGGACCCGCTGTTCGCCATTAGCGTGCTGAACAACAATCGACGGCGCTACGATGACAGTATCGGGACGCCCCTCTTATCTTCCAGTCATGAGCGAGGAGGGTCTTCCAACCATTCGACGACCTCTCGCACTCCTCCTTCCACGACGGGACGTAACGGCACCACCACGCCACGTTCCATTGCCTACTCGTCTTCCCATCATAATAATGGCAAGAGACCTCCTCGTTCCGTCGGACTTTCGACTACCACGACCTTGAATGGAAGCCGTCGCATGAGCAACGGTGGTCTTGGCGGCGGTGGCACTCATCATCGAACCAACGGCAAAAAGAAGAATCGAATCGTCTACCCTCCACCGCCTCCCACGGCCAGCGTCCAAAGTGCGTACACGGGATATAGCGACGAAGAGGATGAAGACGATGATCACGAAGACTTGTCCATTTCCGGATTGGACGGTCTCGGTAGTGGCCATCGTACGCGGGATCGTCCCACTTCCATGAATGGAAATGGCCATCATAATCATCAAGATAATCAATCCGTGGTGACGGATGTCCTGGATATTTCTCGCAATGTCGGCTCCAAGGTCATGACGATGCAAGAACCCATTGCCGAACGAACCATTTTCCCGTCCGAAGCGGCTGTGACATCGTCTGAAGGACTCGATTCCAAGACTCCCGAAGTGGTGATGCATCCCACACAGGCACAACCCAACCAACAGCTCATGAGTGACGAAGACTTGGATGCGGTTGGACAGTTTTTGGTGCAGGGATCCTGTGTTGGAATTATCATTTGGTTATTCTTGCTGTTCAATGTATACCTGTTGGCACCCGAAGACAGTTACGAATATTTGACCGGCATGGAACGACAAGCCGGTTGGACCATTGTCATTTTATTGTTTGCCACCAATACGACTCGTATCATCCCATTGGCATTTCAGAAAAATGGATTCCAATTCCTAAAGAGTGGGATCATGGGTGAGTTTTATTTGTTTATTGATTTTCCTATGAATCGATTTTTTGGGTATCATACCATACGAGAAAGTTTTTCGTTTTCTTATTCTCATTCCTTTTTCTCCTGATGTCGCTACGTTGTTTTACGATTGTAGTTGGAAGCTTTACGGTTCAGTTTATTGCTCTGGTATCCAACTGGATCATGGTAGTCTTCAAGACGCCCGTCATGATTGACCCATACACTGGAATGAGGATTCACTTGTTCCGATTTGCCGTTTGGACTCCACTCTCCTTTCTCATGAGTAAGTTTGAAAGTGAATATCGAAGGAGCAACCACAGCCAGAAAAGAAAGAAAAAAGAGCATCGTTTACTCATTTATTTTCTTTGTCACAAATATTTATTTATTCTATCGTGCAGCCTTTTTGACCGAAGCCATTGATCTCAACTGGCAATCCAAGGCATCCGTCCATCAATCCTTTCACCAGCATTCCTACCAAGTCGCTTGGTGGCACGCATCCTTCATGGCACTCAGTACTGTATGTGGGGGCATTTTCCCCTTTTGCAAGAATCCATTCATTTGGTGGGAAGTCATGATCATTAGTTGGATCCTCTTTGCCACCATTTATCTACGATTCTATCAGCGATACGTTAGAGCTAAAGTATTGAAGGAGCAGCAACAACACCAGCTGCCCACCAAGTCCAAGCAAACACGAGGACCCAATTTCTTGCTCAATGAAGCTGTCGATCGATCCCGCATGAGCTTTCAGTTGATTTGTCTCTGTACTTGTACATGGACATTGATTGCCTTGACATTTACCCTGGCATGTTTCCTACCCGAATGGGTGCCAAAAGATTCCTTTTGGGCCAGTCCGGAGTTGCCATTGGTCGTGGGGACTATGCTCGAGTCCGTCAGTAAGGTCTATTACCTCACCATGCAGCTTCACGTGTATGATAAAGTCTTTGATGAGAGTGCCCGATCGGCCAGGCGTTTGGAAGAAATGAGGACTCTCATGTCGGCCTTGTGGGAAGCAAGCAGTAAGTGGTGTATACAAATATATTTCGGTGTCAAAATGGTGGCACCGTATGTACGCCTGCTAACCCGTGATTTTTGTTTCCTTGTTGTGTTCCGCAGCCGACATTTTGGTCATCTGTGCCGAGACGGATTCCTTTATTCATGCGGTGATCAGCCCACATCCGCTGCTTCAGTCTGAAGTCGAAGAATTCACGGCACGAAGGAACACGTCTTCGACCATGTTGGAAATCTCCAAGTTCAACAACACATTCGTCAGCTTCCCCATGAATCTCTCCGAGCCAGTAACAAGGGAAGACGCGCAGCGCATTCAAAGCCAGCGGTTACGAGAACTCAACATGGAATTCACAGAGCGAGACACGACAAGAGGCAAAAACTTGGCAACGCTGGCGAAGTTGGCCAAGCGAGCTTGCCTAGATGAACAGTCGTGGCACAACAATGCTGCCACTTGGTCTCTGCAGGAAATGGTCGAGTACAACCCCAACACGGATTCAGAAATTCCAGTCCAATGCGAAGCTAAAGTGACAACCATTGATAGTGGTGGTGTCCTCCTGGTCCTCCGAGACGTACAAGAACGCTACCAGCGCTTCGAGGTTGAGAAAGCTCTTCTTGAGGAAGTCATCGTTCGAAAGAAAGATGCCGAAGCCATTCGATTCACCCGTCACGAGGTCAAGAACGGCCTTCTTGCAGCTATTGGCATTGTTGATGGGCTCAAAGAACAAATGCAGAAACACAGTGCCGGTGCTGATGATTCGCACATGGACGATCTCGATGCAGCCCTGAAAGAAATTCTAGAGGCTATTCTTGACAACGCGATGATTAGAGAAGTGGTGTACGAAGGCTACGTTCCTCGCCGAGAAAACGTCGATTTGGTGCAACTTTTGGACCCCAAGTCACGGGAACGCAGTTCCTGTGGAAGTAATTTATCTGACGGCGGCGGTTCGAAACGTCATTTCCCGCTGTTTGCCTCACCGGAGCCATTCCCACAATTGTTGCTGGACCCTCAACTGATGCGCAAGATTTATCAAAATGCTGTATCCAACGCCTGGTAAGTGCAGAGTAATTGGGTGTTCCACCCGTCGCGACGTTATGATGATGGTAGCATTCTGCTCACACATGCGACGTTTTCCTGGATATCTCAGCAAGTATGGCAAGAAGGACGGAGACGTCAAGACATTTTTGACCTATGACTCTGCAAGTCACATTTTCCGAATGGAAGTTTTCAATCTCCCTGGATACAACCATGAAGCTTTGGTCAGGCTCAGCCAGGAGGAATCTGAACGGGTCTTCCAGGAGAGCACCCAGCTTCCTATCAATCAGCGTCTGGACACAAAGGAAGGAAAGTTGGTATCAGCTCGTAGCGCTGGTGACGGTGCCTGGATTATGCAAAAGTGTGCCGAATGTTTGGGTGGCACCTGCGACATCAATTACACTCCTAACGGAACCACTCTGACTTTTGAGTGCCCAGCAACCGTTTCTGACGAGTGGAAGGAACAACAACGGAGTGTGGCATCAGTGCCTGAAGAATTTAAAATCCCCCCTACGACATGGGCTATTGCGGTCGAAGATTCTCCAATGCAACAAAAGCTGCTGGATCGATTCTTGAAACAGGCAGGATTTCCGAAGGAGAAGTGCGTAGTTCTAGGAAAGACAGCGGATGAGATCTACAACTTCACAGACACAATCCGAGACCTAATGCGCGAAAACGAGAATGATAAGTTTGTTCTGATTATCGATGAGAACTTGGACATTGTCGAAGGTGGAGCCGTCACATCCACAGTGTCGGGTTCATTTTCAATTCACCAACTGCGAAAGTCGATGGACGAGGAGGACGAGGCGAGAATGCTTGCTCTTATTCGCAGCGCAAACGATTCGGTTCAGGAGGTTGAAATGTATCAGTCTCGCGCTCACGGATTCTTGCTGAAAGGCCCCATGAAGAAAGGTGGACTGCTGGAAGAAATCAAACCTTGGTGGATTCGCCGATTCAGGAAGGTTCGTACACGTCGTCGTCGAACTGGCGATAGGAGGGGCGTTGGCCGAAATGGCTCCGGATCGGGCGGACGTCTCATGTCCAACATGTCCAGCAGTGATTTCAACCACGATGACGCATTTGGTATCACAAGGGAACGCATCATGGAGTTTGTGACAAACATTGATGCACTGTGCGGCTATCGACCGCTTGTGGACGGCCACAGCTCCGGTGCAACTGTCGGTCCTGGTCATAGTACAGACTGGCAACCGATTCGGTACAAGCTTTTGTTACTGAATATTGACTTGAAGATCAATTCGGACAGAGATCTCTTGTGTTTGGCAGCAAAAGCAATCGATGATCTCACCAGCCAGGGAGGTGCGGGTGGCGTACCGGACAACCTTTTGCATCAATGGATGGAGATCAGGGACCTTGTGACTAAAGGGGTTGAAGACACTGCAGTTGCAAATGGCACATCCTAATGTGTCCGTAGTTGACAATAACCAAAACGTTTTAGATAATATATGTATGCATGAACACCATGGCTTCTTCTGACTGTCGCCATTTTTCCAAACCGGCCACCTATGTCTTGAAACGTTTCCATTGGCGGGGTTGAGGTGTGTGGATCCATTGTCACTTTGGCTCAGTCTTCTCCCCAATCAATGGATGGAATCACAATGTAAAAGCAGTCATCACTTTGTTTCTTCTTGATACTCCAACAGCTGCTCCCACCAACTAAAAGTGCTACATCATTCCCCCATACAGGTAAGCGTTATGGCCGTCTTCTCTAGCGACGTGGAGTTGTAGGATATTTTCTGCTCTGTAGACAGCAACTTTGGCAACCTTTTTGCCACAGTATCAAATGTCTTTTGGTCTTTGTCATTTGGAGTCTTTTGAACTGCTCCTCTTTTGCGCCGTTCGCTCTCTGCAGTTTCTTGTTCACTCGTGTTGGGTCTGGCATGCAAAGCAGTGCCCAAGGTGGGATGAATGAAAAGTCTTTGAAAGCCGCATGCCTGCCTGTTACCCCCAATCTGTGTCATCTCCAAGCAGGAAGTCCCCGTTGGGTCCACATTGTCGGCTTTGAGAGAGGAGAAATAAAAGCTGGTTGCTACGGTAGCTAGCAAGCTCAGTAAAGGTAAGAGGAGCTTGTTTGGGTCCCTCCCGATCACTGCGTCCTTCGTCGGCAACCATGCACCCTCCGCCCACCAGCAACCATCTATTAGATAATTTCCCATCCAATTCTATTGCCGGTACGATACAGGTATAAAGTCGGTTTTGGTCCATCGATTTGAGACATCAGCGATACTATAGCAAAAACAGTACAATATCGGAAACCTTCTGTCTCACTCTCTATTTGCTGAGTTAACGGGACTCAATAATGGACCAAAATATTTAACAATCTCACAAAAAGTATAACGAAAATGAAATACACGTTTAACATAGGGTATGTGATGTTAAATCATGTGGTCAGTATGGGTAACATGCTATGAGTCAATGGTACTTGAGGTCGATTTCGTATTAATCTACTTATGGGTCAATCGGACATTGAGACAGTCATTTGCTTATAGACGGTTTTGGTCCATTTTTGGGCTGTAGCGCTGGTACACTTTCTACGTGTCTCACCCACTTCCTTTATTAAACTCGTACGGGTGCGCTAGTTTGGATTTCAGACATGGATAGTACCTGTACCGTTAAGTTTGTGATGTGCAATCGAACAGAGTTAGGGCTAAATTTGAATTTTGAGAAACGAGGCATCAACGAACTAGCGAACTCCAACAAACGAAGACCTTCAAGAACCCAGTATAACCAAACCTCGCAGGACCATCACACTGAACTAGACTACTGTATCCAACAATCAACTACTAGTAATAGCGACCAAGGCAAGGTTGACGTACCCGTCCGACAAAAGGATTGCACAAAGCATACATACATTAAAAGAAAGTCTGGATTGATTGATTGACTGATAGATTCTTGTTGTTCTGGTTCAAAAATGGCAGTGATGCTTGCCAAGCCAACCATGGGTTCCCTTTGCATGCTGGGGTTCTTTCTCATCTTTTCAGTCTTAGTAGTTGCAGGCAACGAAGTGGATGATGTAGCTTGCAATGCGAACCAAGTACAAGCGTGCCATTGTCCAGGCAATGGCTTTGACGACGACGCGAGCGATCATCCTGGAGGCATGCAGTTTTGCTTGCCGGATGAATCGGGTTGGACCGATTGTGCCCCGTGTCTTTGGTACGAGGAATGGTGTGACATTGAAACCAATTTGTGCTGGCAAGATCCTCCCAAGGACTCCAATGTTCCATCCAAACACGGGGGTGTCACGGTGCATGACGCCATGCGCTATTGCGAAGAGTTAGCCTTTGGAGGCCACTACGATTGGCGGTTGCCGACTCTGACAGAATTGCGATCCATTATAGATGGAGTGGGCATGACGGAACTGATGCAATTGCAGGGTCTCATTTTGGACGACCTGTGTCCCATTACCGAGGGATCTACCGTGGAAGGTATGACCATGGTAGATGTCATTTTGTGTACGGGACGGCTCAACTCCTTTGAATGTCCAGGATCCGGGGGTTGCTGCTGGAATGAAAATCTACAGGGAACTTGTAACACCATTGATCCTGCTTCCACAACCCATTACCTCGAGTTTTGGAGTTCCACACCAGCTGCAGATGATCCCGAAAATTGGTAAGTCCAAGCATGCATCCTATATTATTATATGCAGGTTGTTCTTTAAAAGCTGTGTTTGATACCCTTCACTTACTGAACTATGAATCTTGCTCATCCATCAGGTACGGCTTTGTGTTCTTTGACACTGGCACTGTGGGATTCAACCATGCACTCTCGTTTGGAGAGGTGCGTTGCGTACGAGACAACGATGATATTTCCGTCCTTCCATCCAACAACAACAATCCACCACCGCAACCTTTGATGACGATTGTCGATAGCATGTGCGCACTTCCCGTGGAAAGCTGTTTCCCCGGTCAAACTCGCAACTGCTCTTGTACCACGGGGCGAGATGGAATGATGGCCGTCACGGCAGACGGAGCACAACGCTGTGTCAATGCTACCGATTCCAACAACATTGCACCACTGGCGACGAACGATGACAGTATGTGCTTTGGTCACTGCCAATGTTCCAGCTTTCAAGAGAGTCCGGAACCAGTGGATGTGTGTGATCAATGCGATCAAGTCAACGTCACGGTGCGAGTTCCCAATCGTCTCGAGACACAACCCTACATGCTCGCCGTCTTTCTCTACAAGTACGGCACACTGGACTTTCGCCCACCCGATGTGGGAGTCCAAGAGAACGAGATTCGCTACCCAGATATTGACGTGGACAAACCAATTACCATGACCATTCCAGGATGCTCCTATTACAGAGATCGATGCATGGAAGGAGAGTACTTTCTCAGTATCTATTTGAAAATGAACGAGGGGAGATTCCCTGGCATCCCGGAACCTTTCGATGACTACTTTTATGCGGACGGCAGAAACGAGGACCCCATTGTGCTAACGACTGGCAACAATCAAACGATTGAGTTGGATGTGACAGTGGAGCCCTTTATCATGTCCATGCTGCCCTAAACTACACTACATCTGCTCATGGCAGCGATTGTGGCATCGAGCGACGAGAGGGGGAAGCAAAGAAGCAATCTACATGTACAATATCATCATTATACATGCATCGGGAGGAGAGTGGACCCATGATGATAGTGGGACTGTTGTGCTAATGAAATCGTAGTGATTATATAGTAGCTGTATTTTAAATTGATTAGAGTTGAGCTATTCCCTGCAGTTCTCAGTGCGTTGTTGGATTGGATGCTGTACCGGTAACCTAAAGGCTCGAGTGGAATTTGAGACGGACAGCAAGGGGTCGTTGGATTGTGAAGCTTGACAATTGCAGGCTTGATCCAATTTCAGTAGACACGGAAGCTGTCGCGCTTTCGGAGCTTGAAGGTTGCAGAAATAGCAATCGAGTCGAGATCTCCAAAACTTTCTTCCAACATTGGAAGAGTGAATGGCTGCTGGTTGCCGTCCTCGGTCCTACTACTAGCCATTGAGAAAGAGAATGCCTTGGTGGCGTAATCTGGAGCAGTCGTTGGAAGGTTGTTGCTGGTGTGACCGCCTGATGGAAACGAATAAGATTTGGCTCCCTTCCAGTGGATAGAGACAGGATCCAAAGGGGTACTCACAAACGTGTAGGACTTGACGGTCAGATGCAGGAGGATACGAATGTTGTCGTTGCTGTTGTTCACGTAGACTTGCAAGAAAAAGTCCAAATCGTTGGTCTCAATGGTGGAGGATTGTACCACCTCCTTGTTCTTCAAGGCGCCAATGTGGCCACGTGAAAGATCCCAATCCATGTGGAGTTTCTGCCAATGCAACTCGTCGGACACCAGCTGAAGATGCTCTGGATTGCAGCAGTGGGCTTGCAAATCCTCTCGGGGATCTCTGGCATGGCAACATCCAAGTTGGGCCAATGGGCAGGGAACTAGAACTTTGGGACAGACACCAGGGTGGATGGAATGAAGGTTTCGGCGCTGGACTTGGTCTTGGCAAAGCTGGCAAGTTACGAGGGCGGCCGGACACATCCTGTCCTTGTGAAACACCAACGTCGACGCCTTGATATCTTCGTCTTGGCACATTGGACAAGTGACCATGCGTTGAGGGCACTCGTTTTGACTATGCGTGTTGGACTCGGACGCTCGGATCGTTTCTTGGCACAAGTTGCAGGTGATCATGGTGAAGTGGCACTCCTTGGTCTGATGATCTTCGAGGCATCGTAGAGGTCCAGTCCAAGAACAACCCTGAGGAGAAGGCGGTGGAACCACCTCGGTCTGTTTTTGCTGGATCTGAGTGCGCTTTCCACTGCGGAGGGTTCGACCAGGAACTGTGCGAACGATCGTTTTGACTACTTGTTGTTGCTGGGGCGGTGTGTTTTCCTTATTGTTGATGTCTTTGTTGTCGTTGATGTGCTTGGGGCATCGTACCTGTAGATTCATAATCCTGCGACTTATACCCCGACTGACTTGCTTGTTTCTAGGCATAAATCGACGACACATGGGACAATCGTTGCTTTGTTCGGCCCAAGTCGAAATGCAAGAAAAACAGAAGGAATGAAAATAGGAACAGACGATTGTTGGCTCATTCTGAACTTGATAGCAAATGAAACATACGTAGTCTTCGTTGACTGGCTGATCGACAAAGTGTTCGGTATCGATTCCCATGGTTGGACGAATGAATGAATATATAGCTACTTTATGGTAGAAGCGACGATGAAGTTGGTTGTGATGAGGCAAGTGTCGGCGTTTGATGAGCTCAAAAAAAATGAACGTCGAAGCAACGGCTGCCTTTGAACACACGGATGAAGATCAAAAGAGCACTAATAATCGAAGTGGGGATCTTGCCACATAAATGACGTCACGTGCCGTCTCTTTCGCGGTGTCCGAACGATTTAAAAGACATTCCGGTACCGGTACGTTTTGATTCAATCACAGAAGCATTATTACATGTATATGCATACTACCGTACTATGTCATAGTAGTAGTTTGCTCAGCCACAATAACAGACAAGACACCAACACATACATGTACATCAACCTTGTGGGTGTGCTCCTCGTGGTTCGTACTTTGTACTCCCTCAGCCCTCAGCCAGTCCTCTTGGAGTATTCCCTTTTCCCTTCCCTCCTCATAATTCAAGACACTACCAAACTCTCAAGTCGAAGCAACATCTAGCTAAGCGAACACCATGACCAAGCCCAACCGGACCGTCCGCCAATTCCTCCAGACGCACGCTCCTCGCACAGAATTCACTTGCAGCGAGGAGGAAAAACAAAAGAATGCTACAAACAAGCCATGTCTGTTGATTGTCTCTTCGACGAGCGGCGGTGGCACGGCCGCTCGATTGGCCCCCAAAGTCGCCAAACGGTTGGCACAATCGTTCGACACGGTCATCCTGGTCCCCACGCTCCACCGAGAACACGCTCGCACCATTCTAATGACGGAACCACTGGAGCGCTATGCCGTGGCGGTCATTGTGGGTGGCGATGGTGCTTTTTCCGAAGCTGTCAATGGCATGCTAAGTCGACCGGATGGTGTTACCGTGACAATGGCCCATTTTCCCGGTGGCAGTGGCAATACCACGGCGGGCAATACACTGGGATATTGGAATGGAAGTCAAAGCCTGGAACATGCGTGTGATGTGATTTGCGCGCTCAAGACACGGCCCATGGATGTCCTTCAAGTGGACTGTGACGATGGCACAACACGCTATGCCACGTCTACCATTTCGGGTGGCATTTACGTGGACAGCCTCATTTTGGCGGATCGGTATTACCGATGGATCTCCACCTTTTTGGGCAACCCCGGGTTGCGGTACATTTTGGGTCTGATTCATGGCTACTTTATGTACGGAGCACGGGATACAGGCCGGGAAATGAAATACACCATTTACCACAATAACAACCAAGACGAGGAAAGCTTTCTTATGCCCAGCTTTGGTTTGGCACTGTACAACTCGGGATGGGTCTTGGAAGATGCTCGATTTGGATCGTCTACTCCCTTTAGTGGGGACATGTCTCTAAGCGTCGCCAAGACGTATCTTGGTTTGGGTCGGCACCTGATGTATCAGGGAACGGTCAAGAAGGAAAATGGCAAGTTGGATGTCAACAAGAAGTATCCTCAATACAAGTCGGTTCATTTCGATCGAGCTGTCACAAAGGTCAAGATTGAACCCATAGTAGTATCGGACAGCAGTAGTATCAAGTCTTGCCATGGACCATTCAAGATTGCGTTGGATGGTGAGATGGGAACTGGCAATCAAGAATATATGACAGGGTCCATCACGGCGCAAGTACTGCCTGGGAAACTGAATGTGATTGTAGCTTATTAAGCGAAAACAACAGCAACTCATGTAATTTCAAGAATACAATACAACTAATCACTGCAGAACCAAAACGGTGGCAAGTAGCCAGGCCAGATGCGATTCTGCTCTGCAGTTTTGGGCCCACGCCGCATGGTTGGCAACAGGCAAACAGCCCAAACCCTGCTCCCATACATAATATGACCACGCCAACTACAACAGTTTGGGTATCATGCATTCGATCGATCCGACTGATCCCACAAATACAGCTCACACGTATACCGGTAGGGCATGTCTCACATCTCCTCTCCTCAGAGCCATTCACTTGGAAGCATATTGTTACATTCAATGTCAGCCATCATTTCGTTCATTCGTTACCCCGCATTGACGACACGAATAAAGCACGAGACATGGGATCCCAACATTTGAGCACATTTGATATCCCCTTCTCCAAAGGGTATATGATTGCCTTGCTCGTCCTTTTTATTCATCATTTGAATGGCCCCAACAATCTTGCCGGTATCGTCCTTTACTGGCACGGCTAGTACGGATTGGGTCCGAAAGCCCGTCTGTTGATCGACGTTACGGTCGAACCGTGGATCTTGGTAGGCATCGGGGATGTGAATGATTTGTTGCGTGCGCACGCACTCTCCCACAATGGATCCTTCCATCGGCGCTTCAATTATGCCATCGACACCGGACGCTACGCGACTCCAGAGAATGCTCTTCTTTTTATCGTCAGAAGAGCTGTCAGAGTCGTCTTGTTGGTCGATCATCCACAGTGTTGCTCGTTCTGAATAATCACAAAATAAACATAAGCAACAGGTGAACACAAAAACACAAAAACACAAGTGCATGGAAAGAGCGATTAGCCGGATGACTACCCACAAAACATTTGTTCCATTCCTTGATTGATTTCTTGCTGTTCCCCTTTTTGTTTGTGTCATTCATAAAACTAACTTACCAGCATTGATGAGTCTGTGTCCTTCGACAATGACGGATTCAAATATGGATTGCAATTCTTTGGCCTTTTTAGCGCGATCGGCCTTGTCCGTGTCCATAAAGAGTAGACAGGACATGCCCAACAAACAACCCGTGACGACTCCCACACATCCACCTAGCGTGGAGCACGTCCGTGTCACTTTCAAATCCATTTGCGCGAGTGACAAGTTGTGATGCGGCAATTGCAATTTTGCCACGGTCGCATCGACCAGGCCGCCACATGTCAAGCCGGCGACATCCGAGAAACACTGACCAAAACCTGCGGCCGTCATGGTCGACAGTCCAAAAGCTACCCCAAGTGACATGTCAATGGCTTCACCGGCTTGAATCATGACCAGATTATCCATGAAACCAAATCCAATCATTGGAATGGCAGATCGGACGGCAACGATGCGTAATTGAGCCCATGTGGGAGGAGGGATCGAAGAAGCAGCAGCAGCAGCAGCAGTGTCAACGGAAGTAGCTTGATTTTCCTTTTCCGAGGTCATCCATCTCTTTGTCCTCCTTTTTCCAGGCAAGCATCTTCTACCCTGCAGTATCAGTCTAGAGTATAGCAGACCATTAGTCCTCATCGTCATCGTCGTCATATTTCAACTCTATCAGGATGCTTGTCCTCTTGCAAGGTAGAAGAAGTGAGGACAACAGAACATCAGAACACGTCCAGGCTTTTGTTGGTGGATCTTTCTTGAAGAAAAGATCCACCCAAATTCAGAACACTTTGTGTCAACCACGTCAGCGCCACCTTGACATCGTGGCCTTGACGAGTTGAGCCCTACACTCGTGCACGCGAGCGAAACACGAAACATGGCGCCATACTGGGATGGGCAATTAACATGCCCCAACTTGGAAGCTGTTCGATTCTGATTCGATTCGTGTCAATTGCTATGATCCTTACACGTTAACCAGCAGAAGAAGCAGTAAGGTTAAACTTGCGGACTCGTTCCTCTCATCACATCTCCCTCGGTGCTCTTGTTGGGAGCGCAGAAAGCACCAGGCTCCCAGCCAGCAAGATAAGCAAGATGTCTACGACGGTCCAAACTGCATCAAGGAAGGCAATGGAGGAATCTGAACCCCGCCCCTTTCCCTTCGTGATGTGTACTAATCCTCTTGCCACAGTGCAAGCAGCAGAGGTACGGAAAACCTGAACCAAGACAAATGACAGTTTCACCACCACCACCACCACCACCGGAACAACATCCAATCGGGAATTACAGCACGGAGTTTGGAAGCTGCCTTGGAAAAATGGATGATTGGGCCAACAGAAACACTGTCCAACTTTTACCTCAGGTGTTCTATCCAACAATGTTCCCATACCCATTATCGGCTGGTGGAGATGATCCGCATTGGGACGATGTTTCCACCATCACCAAGGTATCTGTGGAAGGCAATCAACTCGGGGGTGCCTCGAGCCAAAACATGGTGGTGGTTGCTGTGGTGGCTCTGGTGGGGTTCCTGTCTAGATATGCTTGTAGCGCCGTTCGATAAAGGAAGTCAGCTGCAGGCCAATGACAAGCAAGGCACAGATCTTTCTTGCATACGCATGTGCCCCAAGGAATCTACCCCCTGGAGGACCATTCGCTCCTCCTCGGCCTGAACTGGGGTTCTATGATACTATTTTTTGCTAGCTGGTGCATGCTACTTTCATCCAACCCCCGTACCTATATTTTAATGGCGGGGGCTCCAGTAGAAAACGCAAGTATGACCGAGGAACTTTAGATTAAAAGTTAACCGCGACACTAACCTCGACAACACCAAAAGCTAGCTAGCTGGTACGGTAGGAAGTGCGGTAGGAAGCCACTCGCTTTGCTACGATAAATCAGACTGCAGCTTTTGCATCTTGATGTCGTCATTGCGCGAAACATGGACCACAATATCCGTCCACAGCACGGCGTTGAACATCATTCCACCAAGAAACTCGCACGTCATTCCCACGAGCATCTTTGGGTCCATCAAGGTGACAATGTACGATGCCAACGAGGAGAGCTCTTGATTGGTGACATCGGTGTAATTGGTTGCCCAAATGGCAAGTCTGATGGCCCAAATCAACACCAACGCCATGCCGGCACCCCGACAGATGCCACTCGCGGAAAGAAGGCGATTGCAAAACAGGATCCGTTCGCTCGATCCAAAGGTGGACACTTCTGTGAATGGACTTGCAAAAGACACAATCAAAACGGGACCAATCACCAAACAACAGATCCCCATGACCAAAAGGAAATCGCCCAACACTTGGATGATCAAGGACAGGGCCGCAAATGGTGTTATAATGGCAAAGACTGCACTCAGAACAACCATGGCGCCGGAAAGTGGGGAGGGCGCAAAGAGAAAGACTCGTTTGGAACCCAACGTGAGCCCAGCAATGATGGAAAGATAGGTCGGAAGGATCCCAAATGCATAGGTAGCGCCCAAAAAGGCATTCTTGGAAAAGGTGGACTCTTTCAGCACGTAGTTTAGTGGAATCATAGTTGGCCACAAGGAAAGGAGCAACGTCAGCAGCCATCCTGGCACTAGCACATTTCGGGATTTGGTGTAATCGGTCCAGAACCATGCAGCCACTAAAACGACGGCAAGAGCACAAAACGGTGCCACACGTTGACTGGCCACTGCCGCTTTCCCAAGGCCCGTGTAGTTGGCCACGTCCTCGCCTGTGCTTGTCTCATAAGCCTGAGTTTCATGGTTGAACCCTTCCCCAATAAAGCCACCGCACTGCTCTTGGATTGTGGATATTCGAATGCCAGCACCAACGGCGAAGAATACAGACGCTGAATACAAGAGGCGCCGACGCCATACCAAAAAGGATTTACTGAAGCCTGACTGCCAAAGCATGTCTAGAAAGCTGGTATTCAGGACTCTGCGTTCATCCTCTGTCAACTCCACCTCTCCCATCGGGCTAAAGAGAGTCTTGGGGAACGTCAGGACTAGCGCTGCCCTGACGGCATGGTCTTTGAGCGAAGAGATCACCTTCATGTTGATTGTAAATGGAAATATGTGCTGATAGCGATGGTCCTTGTTGGAGTGACAATGGATAGTTAGTTTATGAGAGACAGAGAGAGGAGACAGCTCCCACTCCAGCAACAAAGGGAAGACTGGGAAAGTTTCCAACGGCAATCCCTAACTTGAAATGTGATCATCTTTAGATCTTTCAGTCGCGCGAGGTGTCGTGGATCCTCAGCAACCAATGGAACAGAATGACAATCAAACAGAGTATGAATCCTGCTTTGAAATGAGTGACTGGGCAAACATGAACAAGGTTGAAATTTTGCCTGGGGCATTCTATCCTTCAATGTTTCCATACGCTTTGTCGGCTGGTGGAGATGACCCACGCTGGGAAGATGTTTCTACACTCACAAAGGTATCAGTTGTTGAAGAAAATAATCTCCAGCAGCAGGGATCTGTTCCGATCCTTGTCATGGGTGCCCTATTGGGTTTCCTATTGTGGCCACTAATGGCCACTCTCTCTGGAGTCCAACCTGTATACAGTTTCAGCACCTTTCAGTGACAACATGGCTTGGGAAACACTCAAAATCAATAACCATCACCAAGCCAAAACTTCATCTTACAGTACATGTATCATCTTCCAGGCGAACTATGACCATGTATGTGTTGCTGCTCGAAGCTGACCACCTAATGCAAGTAGTGGCGGGCCTGACACACCTGAAGTTCGCCTCACTATTTGCTTGATAAAAATCGCATGTTTGGTTTTGTACCTTTTGGGAGCTCGGAGGGAGATCACATCAGGTTGCATGTTTGCACTTCTTTTGCGGAAAAAGGCACAAAACTCCCTTCATCAAAGCCCTTTATTGGAGGGGTTAAGTCCTTAGTTTACATTTATTTTAAATTAAGTCTTTTACCTTCGTTTAGCTCTATCCCTTTCTCATAAAAGGGAAACAACTCAACACGACAAGAAGACAAGCCAACATTGAACGTTGGATGGATGGAGTTAGTCAACAGCAACCAAGATGAGTGATAGTACTACTTTGGTGGCGACGGAGGAGGAGCTGAAGCCTCCTCAGTTTCGATCGGTGGCAATTCCCCCTGCCAAACGGCAGAGCGCCTTTCGTCCGGATCTGAAACTCTACGTCAAGAATGTCCGTGATGGCAACCAGCCGAAGAAGGCCATCACTGTTCCTTCTGGGTCTACCATCCAAGGAGTAAAGCTACTCATTCAATATCTCATGGACGTTCCCGTGAATGCACAGCGTCTCTACTTTGGACCATTCTTGAGCTCCGGGAGTGAGCTTCCAAACCACAGAACACTCCACGATGCCGGGATCTATCGCTCGGGAGAGACTCTTTTCTTGGAGATCAAAGATGATGATGAGACAGTGCCCAGTTGGAAGAACAGTCGCACCGAGGCACCGAGCACTCCAGCTATGTCTTTCTTTGGCAGCAGCAGCCGCCACGAAACGAAGCCGTCATCGTCATCGTCACCCTCTGCCAAAGGATGGGCTGTCCCCAAGCTACAACCTGTCCCGATTTATTATCCTCTCGACGAAAAGTCATCTCGAGTTGTGGAGGATGATTTGGACAATGTGATGGAACGTTTGGCGAACTGCTTTCGCTCTTTGAGTCTTCAGGCAGTCTTCAACGACGAGAATGTACGTCCTATTCTTCTATCTTTGTTCTGAATTTTGCAAGTTTGTGCAGGTGTTCTTACCAACACGGTATCTGTGACTTTTTGACAGGCAAGCGTCCACTTGACCGACTCACAAGGCGTGGAAATGGATTTGAAACTCTGGAAAGCAACTGGAGAAAAAACGGGGGTGGTGGTGGAACTCCAGCGGCGAAGGAGCGATGCCACATCCTTTCATCGGTGGTACCTTCGCCACATTTTGGATGCGGCAAAAAGAGACGATACTACGGAGCATAAAAAGGCAGTGAGTGGTGCCATTGAAATTGCCCACGGCTTGCTGCTCAGCAAGGATCGTGGTACGGAACACCATCGGTTGGGTTTGGAGGATCTGCATCTTTTGACGGATCCGGACAAAACAACAACTATGTCGAGTGCTACCCGGGCAGCCATAAGAATTATTGATGCGGAAGGTCAATTCCCGGATAGAGGCGTATTTGAAAACGTACTCAACACGGTGCTTGACAAGGTGATTGGCGACTATGACCATGACAACGACAGCGATCATGGTGATCACCAGAAGAAACAAGCGCCTGTTGTATACCATTATTTTAGCAATGGGAAACACAAACCAAACAAACTCTCTTTTCAGCGGAATGGTACCGGATCCCCCGGGTCAAGATCAAAATCTCGTCAAATGGGTCGGGATCGGAAAAGTCACTTGAGCGATCCCATCGAGACGTCTGGTAGCACGCATGATGATGGGAAAAGCGACACCAGCACACCCAATACACCAGACGGAGCACAACCTGGCAATACACACGCAGAATTGCCGTGCAGGGCGCTTCCCCACAACAACGCGGCGTATGCAGCTTCCAAGCTTTGCCGATTCTACAGCATGGCTGCTTCGGTGGCGTCGAATTCCTGGGCTTTCAGTGGCTCTAGTAGTTCGGACATGATTACCGAGTCGCGCCACAATTTGAAGGCACCTCCGCAGCAACGATCGGATGAAAGTAACAGCAACCAGCAAACCGACTATGAAACCTGCCTGGAAAACGATGATTGGGCAACTATACACAAGGTGACACTGTTGCCTGGGGCGTTCTATCCCTCTGTGTTTCCATACACTCTATCGGTGGGTGGAGATCATCCACGTTGGGAGGATGATGATGTCTCCACACTTACCAGTGCCAAGTTATCAGTGCAAGGAAACCAAATTCTTCAAGGATCTGTCCAGTTTCTTGTCTTGGGAGCAGTCTTTGGTTTCCTTCTCACTTGGCCGCTCGCTTGGTCCTTGATGGACTCCAACAATACTATCCAGTCTGGATACGTTTTCAGCGCTTTTCAGTAGGAGAGACACGATGCAACTAGCTAGCTAGCTAGATAGATAGCTAGATTGAGACAAGATGAACAAGACGCCGACAAACGAACACGGCACGGTACCATACGGCTCGGTACACGTACGGCGCGCCGCAGGAACAACTCTTTTATGACACCAATAAGACAGGATAAATGCATGGAAAATTTTTAATACACGCGAGCAGCTTGCTCGCATCTTCCCACGATACTTTTGCCCACGCACCTGCTACTACTGTACCTAGCTAGCTATTGGGGTGTATCAGTGCGATTGCTTGGATGCTGTGTTGCCAAAACTGGCCCTTACAAGTACGGTAATAAGTGCGCATCAGTGCTAGCTAGCTAGCAACAGTCGACGCCAGTCTCCCGAGACGCAACTCGGCGTCCTTGGGGGAACTGATCGGATGCGAGTCACCGTTCCAACCAGGAGTATGACATATGGCTGGGCAAGCGTGGTGGTACTTTAGGTTCCTTCTGGATTTGGTTGCCAAAGGGCTGCCCTCCACAGGGCCAACGATAGCTAAAATAGCTAGCTGCAGCAACAAGAAAAACAGTTGCCGGGCTGCTTTGTTCGTGTACGTACTGTTACAGTCTGGTTTAGTTTTATCATCATACGCGCTAGCCATCGATCGAACTAGCTATCTACATACCACATATATATATATGCATTCATGCCTGATCCTGTGCATCAGTTGTGTGTCCTCCTCTCCTCTCCTCTTCATTTCGAGTGTGAGTCGAGTCCTCCGCCGTTCACTCAATCAATTGGCGGAACCAAACGGCGACACTTCCTCCTGCTCGTCATCATCATCGTCGGAAGAATCCGTGTCAAAGTCACCCGATGGCGCATCCATTTTGAAACTAACGGTACTTATTTGGAGCTCGGTTCCTTGTCCAAAACTGACACCCTTTTTCTTGTTCTTCTTCTTCTTCTTCTTGTTGTTGTGACCCGAAGCAGTATCCAAACATCCGGACCGTGCATCAAAATACTGTTTCGTGGAATGAGTGGTATCCATATCGAGTTCACGCATCTTTCTCCGCGTCGTTTCGTTGTTGTTGTTGTTGTTGTTTCCTCCCGTCAAGATACCTCCACTACCATGAGTGGAATTGTTATTATTGAAACTCAACAAGGACGAACCAGTGGTGGAGTTGAAACTCAAGGACGATGCTTCCGTAGTACTAGTAGTAGTAGTCTCTCCACCACCACCCGATGATTCCGTAGTCTTATGATGATGATTGGCGGCTTTCGCACTCTTGTCGCCTCGTAAGACTTGCTTGACATGCGCGGCCTTTTCCTTGTACTCGATCATCTTTACAGTGTCGCCTTTTGATTTGTAACACTTGCGGAGTTTGGTGTAGACTTCATAAATGAGTCGATGTTGTTCTCCCACCGATTGCAAGAGTGCCGTTTCGGCCCGTTGATAGTACATCATGGCAGCATCTTTTTGTTGTTGTTGACGCTGCATGGCAAAATGACATTCGGCAATGTGATACAAACACGTGGCCGTTTCTATATTGTATTCTCCATGAATGCGAATCTGTGCGACGAGTGACTTTTGCAACAAGTCGAGTGCGGAGGAGTATTGTTGTTGATGATGGTATCGACAAATGCCCATGTTCATGTGACTGCGAAACGTCAAGACATCGGTAGGACCATCGAGTATCGACATGGCCTTGAGGAGTGCCATTTCGTGATAGGAAAAGGCCGTTTCGTATTGTCGTTGTTTTTGATGGACCATTCCGAGTGACAAATAACATTCGGCCATGTCATAGTCGGTGGTGCTTGTTGTGTGGTTGGTGGTGTTGCCAGATTCGAATCCATCCATGGCCTTTTGCAGATGTTCCAGTGCTTCGTCCCACATTCTGACGGCGCAGTAGCAATTGCCCAAGTGAAAGTGGATCTTGCAGTCACTAGTACTACTACTACTACTATTGCTTGTACTTGTACTGCGCAACTTGTCATGAATCTGCAAGGCCATGCGATGATGGGTAATGGCTTCGTTGGGTTTATCGAGATCACTGAGGACGGATCCCAAACAATCGTAAATCTCCGCGACCGGCGCACTGACTTCACCACCGCCTACACTCGTATGCATCTTGGACGCCAACTTGTAGTATTTCCACGCCAACAGTGGATGGCCGCCCACGCGGGCACATACGGCCATGTCGCAATACGCATCGGCCACTGAGACGTGTGGTGTATCGTCGTACTTTGTCAGAAGCAAATTCAAAATGGCTTCGTACTGTTGAAAGGCTTCCGTGTACGCTTCGGTAGCCAACAAGGCATCCGCTTGCTTCTTCTTGTGGCTGAGTAATACGGCGGCGGACGATGGGGAATCGCTGTGGTCGTTGTCCGTCTCCAGTAGGTCCGTCTTGGGGTGCTTCAAAGGAGAAGCAGAAGATGGACTTGCGCCATTGGCAGCAGCTTTGCTAGACGTACATCCCATGGTCGATCGCTAGCTAGAGAAAGAGAAACTAGTAGAAACAAGAGGAGACTTGCTTTTTCGCTGTCGGTTGGGAAAATTGTGAGCTGCAGTCGCTGCTGCCATTTGGCGTACTTGTTGTAGTAGTGCCCTGTGCCCTCTGCAAAATGACCGTAAGTACTTGTTGCCAGTTTTGCTTGCGATCCAGTCATGCATAGCTACGGTAGCTAGCGACGTACAGTAGACTACATGCATGTACTGGAGGGGCAGGGGTCTTGGATTTGCAAAAGTTGGGGCAAAAAGTGGCGCCACTATTAATAGATATATGATGCCAGTTCGATCGATGACGACATAGAAAAGCGTCTCTAAATCTTGATGATTCATAGTCATTGTTTGGTCTTGCTCTTTCCAGGGTGTATGTGCGAAAGCAATATGGTGCCAGTTTGCTGTCGACAACTCAGGAGAATAGACTAATTACAGTAGTTAATTCTTGATGTCATTGTCAGGTCTTTCTCTTTCTAATTATTGTGTCCACGCAAGTGTGGCTCAAAAGCTGGCGGAACCTCAGGACGACGGGTTTCGAAGGTAGTTATGGTAAATAAAGGGTTGAAGTTAAAGATTTCTCTCCATGTTTGTATACACAATATAATTTACCGTAACTACCTGCCAAATGTCTTCCAGCACGAGCTCTGCAACAGGATACGGATGAGTAGTCATTCTTTCTGCGCTGTACATCTGTCCATGTTTACCTTTACCTATGTATTATGTCCCCTTACCAGTCTGCTACTACTACTGTACTAATACCCATGAGCGTTGCTTTTACCTACGGAATGTCCCTCTACCAGTCTGGCAACTGGTAGCAAGCAAGGGTCTTGGTGTAACCGCTGCTGTAACGCTCTGAAACTCCACAACAACCCTGGAAAGGTTTTTAAAATAATAAAAAGGTCAGCATCCCTCCCCAAGGTCAAGCCGAAGAGACCGCCCGACCACCGACTACACTGGGCAGGCAAAGTACAATCCCGCAACCCTGGCGGAACGTAGCTCCGTACCCTGCCCACACCACGAGTGTTTATTCGCTTTGGGGAAGCGCTTAAAAACCTAAAAACCTACCACCTGCACTCGTGAGCCTAACTGCACTCGGTAGGAGTGCAATAAAGCCCAGCGTCAATTGTTTCCGTCCTCGACCATCTTACAAGACAGTACTACTAGTACTCCAGCGGTACATGTACATCAGTACCGTACCATTGCTGGGTACCTGTCACATTTTTGAGACTCCGCATATCCGTCCAAGATAGCTTCCTTCCCGGATGCCTTTGGTGGATGGATGGTTGATGGCTGGAGACCCTACCTGCAGCTTGCTTCATCCTTCACCTTTTGCTTGAGTTTTGAAGTTGCTCACCTCACAAATCGAAAAGGATCATCCAGCCAGACAATAAAATCACAATTCTCCCACACCGAATCTCAGAACGTTCAAGATGTTTATCAACATGATGAAGCTTGCCCTCGTGTCAATGATGTTCATACTCTCCGCGTCTGCTGAGACCGGCCTCCGCGGTAGCGCTGTCGAAGACGCTGAAATCACGCACGGACAACGTGAACTCACCGGTGTGATCGGTTCTTGCCGCTACAAGTACCAAAAGTACAGCTGGAGCAAGTTTAAGTTTGTGACCAAGGACAACGATCGTTGCGTTGAAGCCATGACCATTGGGCTAACCTTCTCCGACACTAGGCAGTTTCCCGGCACTTGGCCCTTCAGCAACGGTCGAATCAAGAAGGACGGACAGTGCCAGGCGGGTGGATGCCAAGACAGGAGCGATATTGGTGATGGTTCTTGCAGCCTCGCGGATACCACCGGGTATTTCAATATCCACACTTGCAAGTAGATAACCTCAAGTTGGAGTGGATCAGTGATTGGTCGAACGAAGTGACTTCAACTGCTAGGCCGTGAGATGACGAAAGGAACAAACTACTCGTAAAATTAGATCCAGTTACTCTGCAGCACAGTACATCGTTACCTGCTGGTGCTTTGGCACTTTCAAGTGGCAATGCCCCCGGCTGTGCATGTTTCACAGCGTCAACTTGCTGCAATACTTGCTTATTCTGGTGGTGCATGTGGATTGATGGCTTCGTGCCAACATGGAGGCCATGACATCGCGAAGATGAGCATTCGGCGGTGTCTCGAGTTTGGAGTGGAGAAGGGCTCCCCTGACGGCTCGTGTTTGGTGGAAGCTTCCGACAAGCGAAACCAAGTCAAAAGTACCCCCCCCCCCCGAGAACGTGGCTCGATTCAATCAACGATGGTGCTCTTTTCGTAATGTTTGGTGGTGATGGCACGTCTTCATCCTTGTTGCTCGGGGATACAGCCATACAAATAACAGTCCCACAGATGCTCCCAAGGCAAAGAATCAAAGAGCCACAAAAGATATCCTATTGATCCATTATTGCTTCTTCCACATTTTTCCACCGGGTGTTGCCATCAGTTCTTGGTTGTGCATGGGTTGCCTGCTGCAGTGCCTCAACATCTGCTTGTTTGCTGCTGGCTGGGCAATTTGTCAAGATGTTAGCCGTGCTGGAAGTGAGCACCAGAGTCAGGCAACTCCTGCTTTAGCAAAGGCACCTGGTTGCGGTCCACTGGGGTCCCGAGTGTCCTTGAAGATACCCCTGCCTCCTCCATGTCGATCATCCCTATGGTTATCGGCCTGAAGGAACTCGGATCCGCAGCAACTTGTTGTGTTGCTGCACACAAGCAAAAGATGATCGACGGACAACGGCGGGCAACAATCGCGAGCATTGGCATGTCTTCCCCCTTCGTGCTGCGAGCTCGATGGTCCGGTGCGAAAACAAGCACAACCCTCGTGAACCATTTTGAATGATCCAGTTTCAGGGAGAGTGACACGTACGGTACCATAGTGACTGGTACCAGGTACTACGGTACAATACTGTAATAAAACAGATCTCGTCATTGTCGTCATCTCGTCGTCCAGTGGAAGGTGGTGTCATCCAGTCGTGGAGATCTGTTAACGCTTTTGAGTGCCGTAGTCGTGAAAAACGCCGGGCAGACTGAAGTCGGCCTCAAGAGCGAACTCCGCAACTCCGCTCGAAAGCAAGCTCCGCAGCAGCAATCAGACAACAGAACAACTAAGTCAGCGGGAGCTGCGATACCTCGGCAGAAAGACAGATAGAAGAAGGATGAACATGTTTGAGATTGCACCCTTCTTTCAAGGTAGCCCTGGCGACGCCGCCCGGTATCATTCCCTCATTATAACCTTCGTTTTTATTTAAGCTAGCCCTGGCGACAACACACGACTCCCACTATCATTCCCTCATTGTAACCTTCTGTTTTATATTAAGCTAGCCTTGGTGTTGCCACGGGGCTAACCCATAATTTACAGCTATCATTCGATCATGTAACTCAATAGATTTACAACACCTGCTGGCTTATTGTGTTTTTGTGCTGAGTGCACTAACCTTAAATTTCATTGATATATTCCTACCCCTAACTTATTATTGAACCTTCAATTTCCAGTTTTGCCAGCTTATATTATCTCTATCCTTATACCCTGGCTTCACCGGAATAGGGGATCCCACAGACAGGAAATGAGGGGGATCCCACAGACAGAATATTTGCCAAAAAAGGGGTAGAGGGCTCAGGCAGATAGACTGCCGAGGTAATAACACTTACTTGTCTACTCGAGTGAGTACAGCGTAGCTACTATCAAGACCTAGTCTGTGTTGTTGGGCGTTCTAGGGTCCAGAGTTGGTACTCATCATTGTGCAATTGGATCAGTTATTGCTCATCATCAGTCGTTTTTCATCTGGCAGAATCTGTCATCCCAGCATCTGGCAGAATCTGTCATCCCAATTTGGATGCCACCATGATGAGCTCACTTTTTTGTTCAACCGGATTGCTAGAGTTGCATACCCAACCAAACAAGGAAGACTTTTGCGATTGTTGATAAGCCAAGGCCAGATCAACCCCCCTACTTTCAATTACCCTTTCTATCAATCTTCTATTCAATACCCATCAATTGCAAAATGAAGTTTTCTTCTTCTATCATCAAGCTGCTCTCGTGGTCCATGACCACCGACAACTACAACAGCAACACCAAGAAGACCCCCGTTCTCCAGGTCGCCAAGGAGATGACGGGCAACAACGACAACGACAAGGACGTTCCTGTGGCAGAGGAAGTCCCAACATTCCAACTGGACGAGTTGGACCAGTCGGTCGTCCAAACCGCGGCACTGTTGCACACGTACGGAACGAATCCTGATGTGGAGTTCCAGCAGCACGGTCGCTACCTAGGTGCCTACGACCTTTCCCTGGTTCCTGCAGATCAGCATGGTCACTACGGATACGACAGATACAACCAGCACCAGCCCAAAGGCTGTCGCATCCAACCCAGTCAATCAGGCAACGCTCGCTGGAAGACTCATTACGGTCAAGACACCGAACGGAGCAATGGAAACCATTTATCCTTTGCTCCCGTCAACACTGTAGTGGGGTACTCTTCTGACGAGATCGAACAAGCTGAGAACCGTCGTGTCTATCGAGACATGAACAAACATGTGCCACAGGCCCGGTACGAATTCTGGCACGAAGCCCAACAACAATTCATTTCCGTCGGCACACAGACACCCCACGAACGCGTCTTGGATCTCGTGCAGTTGATTCAAGAGTATGGATACCAACAAGCGGCCAAATGGATCACCAACAACCTATGGTTCCAAAGCGACAAAGCATACCTACAAAAAGCCAAACTGTACATTCAAATTGATGCACTGCATCAAGACCTCGAGGGACTTGTTCGTTTCATCCAGGCGAAGAAAGGAAATGACAAGCAAGTCGCCCACTGGTTCATGGTCAACGAAAAGAACACTTACATGTTCGAACTCGCCATGTGCCACTTGCACCACGGAGGAATTCAGCGCAACGCTGACGACGAAATTTGCACCTTGAATACGCGAGAACAGATTGCCAATCGACGATTTGTCTATCGCAAGGTCAAGGACGTCTGCATGGAAGATGCAGCACCCGTAGTAGTAGAAGAACAATCAGCAACAACTAAAGACATTGAGACAATAGAAACAGTCTCGACCGTCGACGACAACAAGATGGCATCCGATGCCAAAGGTACTTGCGAGGCAGCGGTGGTTCCCACATGTACAGCTGTGGTCCCATACATTCAAAAGTGGCATGTGACACACTTCAAGATCAGTGTGCATGGACAACAACCATTTTTATTGGCGATGCGAATGAAGAATGGTGTGCTACTTGGAGTGGTACCCAACAGCATTCTTGCAGCCTTGATGAAGGATGGTGGAGACCTTGTCAAGGAACTGATGCGGCACAAGACACTACGATTGGAGGCAGGCGTTGCCTCGGATGATACGGATTTCGAATTCGTGACTGGCCAAGTGGAAGCTGAAGAACCACTAGTCGAGGTCGAGGAACAACAACACGCTGATGCCGATGAACCGCCGCTGGTCGACAACCGAGTCGACAAGGAGGAAAATGTGGACACAGTACAATCAACTTTGCGACGATCAAAGAGACGGATGGCGGCGATTGCATCTCAGAGAATTGCAGAACAAATGAAGACGAAGCCACGGCGGGTGGCAGTTGAAAGACCTAGAATTAAACGTAGATGGGCGTTGGCCACCAAGAAAAAGTCGACAAAGCCAAAGGCAAAGGGCAAAAAGAAGACGACACAACCTGTGACGAACACACAGCAGCAAACAACAGTTCAGACAACAACTCTTTCTGGACGGCAAGTCAGAAAGCCTGACCGGTACACTCCAGTCTAGGACAACAGGTAAGTGCGGGCGGCGACGCCACATTGCGGGACTAACACAATACAATACACAACGAGCAAGCACCTGGTGGGGTGCAGGGCTATACAACAATTTTGCGGAGATGAATACAGTTGGTTCAATTGAAGGGTCACATCAAAGGTAGCCAGGTTTGTGGTTCCTGTGCCAGGCAGCCTCTATTGTAGAGTGCTTGTCCGAACGTCCTCCACACGACTAAAGTCCAAAGTTAATACCCATGACACCCTACAACCAACCTCTATCATTGTTGATGGTACAATCTTAAATACAACTAAACATAAACATAGAACAATAACACATAGTAGACAATCTTTACAAACAAATCATTGCTTCATTCTTTATAGTAGTTGTAGTCGTACTAGCTAGTGGTAGTTCATAATCAGAGCAGCATCCATTGTAGGGCAAGCATGTAGGTGGTAGTCGCTGACCATGTTGCACACGAAGAAGTAAGTTACTATGGGCTGTGGGTATTCGAGAGTGACGAGTCACTCGACTGGACTCAACTCGACTGTCACTCGACCCGACTCGACTCGACTCGACCCGACCCGACTCCCAGAAAACGCTGAGCAGAAGCAAAGGGGGGCGGGCACCTGGTCTTCAACCATCATCTGTCATCACTGCTGTAGCTGGCTAGCTACTAGGCTACTAGGAATAGCGCTGTTACCAGCTGCTGTTGCCTTCAATCTTCAATGTTTGTTTCTTCTTTGCCGGTTTGGAATCCAGAGATAGAAAACCTCCAGCATCCCGCCCCACAAGGAAGCATGTGCATCTGCCGTTGGCTTCCAGGCCTGGTAGCCAGAAGCCAGAAGCCAGAAGCAAGAGTACTAGTAGGGTGCCTGGCTCGTGGCTCGTGGCGAGCATCTGTTGTTCTTGAGTTTCTATTCCTCCTTCAACAACTTCACCAAATAAGTAATATAGCATGTAGCATGCAGAAGCTACCGGTATTCAGATAAGTAAAAGCGCCGGAATTGATTGCTGCAGAGTGCCGAGTGCTGCAGAGAAAGACGCGGTTCATGGATGTACGGTAGTACCAGCAGCATCCACACGAACTGCAATGTACTAATTGGCGCCTTTGACTGACAGCTGCCTGCTGCGCATGCCCAGGATGCGGGATACGGTTTTGTCCGAGTTCTTGTCGTTAGCTTCCATGTCAATTGCAACGAGCGACAATGCACCCTCGCTCGGATTCTGTCCTCGAATGAAGAAGCTCCAAAGCAAGCTAGAACAAACGAACAAACATCGCTCATCACTCCATGGCACGAAACACAATCAAGCAAAGAAGCAGCTGCAAAGCATTGTCACGCTTTCATCCAAGATCGAAGAACACTGCTACAGTTGCCAGAATGTTGTCTACCGTACGCCGAGTACTAGCTAGCATCGCCGATGCCGATAGCCAGAGGCTTGCTTCTGCACTGCAAACCCTACTACCAGGTACTAGTACCTCCTGCACCAGTAGAGCACGGTGCCGGTACATTGGAACGTTACTGGTACCAGTACCTGCTATGGTACCCATACCATTGTCGAAGTCCCTGTCCGCGTGGCTGGACACTCACAATAACTTAGAGAAGTGTTTCAGGAATTAAAGGTACTTCCTACTGACACATGTTTGATTAACAACACCAGCAAGGTGGTGACTTGGTGCTTTACAGTCAAATAAGTGGCTCAGATTTCTGAACATCTTGCTCTGACAGCTGGTTTGCTTGTTCTTCACTGTGTTAAATCACTGGCTTCACAATTCTTGTGATTGCGGCAACCCTAACTGCAACATTACTCGAGTGTTAATTCCAAAAACAAATTGTGAATGGAACATGTCTTTGCTTTCCGAAATTGGGGACGTTTGGTTCTTTAGAGTTCACGTCATTGGAATTGAAGCTCGTGGTCACGTTCGTTTGTTCGCTTCACGTATCGTATGTCCGTATGTACTGTGTGCACCGCTACCCGCTGCTACCAGAACTTCTTGCTCGCGGCTCCCGGAGTCAAAGTTGTTCACGCGGGCGTCTCACTTTTTCGAGATCGATCCACCGACGAAAGCAAGCTCCCAACGAGTTTTGGTGCATCTCTGCCATATCATAAGTTTGTTCCACGCCAGTTGCAAACTGATCCCAGTTGATTCTTGATACAACCATCCAACCATGATCACTCCGATGCTTCAGCTTTTGGAGGCCCGAATGTCGGTCTTCGTTGTTCTCCTGTGCTGGTGGATTCAGCCGAGATCCGGTGGAGCCTTCCTCATGAACCCAAGTTCGTTGAGGACTCCCCTTATTGCTGGTTCCCCAAAGAGCACAAGTGACCTCAAGGCTATGCTAAGCAACTCCACCCTTCTAAGCCCGCCCACCTTACCATCCTTTCCTTTCTCTCAGCAAGATCAAATGATGCCATGGCCGACTTCCAATCCCTTATTACCAGTGTTACCGGAATCTACTGGCACGGAACGAATCGAAAAAGCATTTGCCAGGACAAAGCAACAAGGTTCAGCTGCCTTTGTGTCCTACGTGACGGCAGGATACCCCAACGCTGACGGTACGTGCAGCAACATGCACCCTCTCGGCACTTTTTGATCTGAAGAAAACTCACACAACCTCTTGTCTGGAACTCAAATGTCTTAATGCCAACAGCTACTCCCTCCATTCTCCTTGCCATGGAACGTGGAGGCGCGACGCTGATTGAACTCGGAATGCCCTACTCGGACCCCCAAGCCGATGGCCCTACCAACCAGCGTGCCAATGAGATTGCCCTGGAACGAGGAACCACCCGGCTGGAACATTGTTTGGACATGCTACGAACGGCTCGAGCAAACGGCCTCACAGTCCCGGTGGTGCTCATGGGATATGTCAATCCATTTCTGCAGTATGGAAGCATGGAAAAGCTATGCAAAGACACACGAGATGCCGGCGGGGATGGCTTTTTGATTGTGGATCTGCCACCCGCCAGTCAGCAAGGGGCGGAACTGCACAAGGCTTGTAGGAAGCACGGTCTCTCCAACATTCCGCTGGTGACGCCCGACACCTCTGAGGACCGAATCGACTTCTTGGCCAAGAATGTTGCGTCTACCTTTCTGTACTGTGTTTCTGTCAATGGTGTCACGGGAGCCCGCGATGAACTGCCGGATGATCTGGAAAGCTTTATGGAGCGCGTGCGAGCCAAGACGGATCTTCCCTTGGCAGTGGGATTTGGTATATCCACGCCTCAAATGGTACACAAGGTGTCGAACATTGCAGATGCCGTGGTTGTGGGCAGCGCCATTGTCAAGTCCATTGTGGATGACGCCACAACCACGTCGGAGGATGCCGTTGAGGAGCAAGTAGCCTACCTCGCTTCCGGAACCAAGCAAGGACCAAGACCCAAGAATCAGGCACGAGGTCTATCTCAGGTTCCTGCTAGTGATGAGCTGTTGGGCTCTGTGGAGCAAGGCGATGGCAACTTTGGGTCCTATGGTGGTCAGTTTGTTCCAGAATGTTTGGCTGGACCGCTCCAAGAGCTCAAGATGGCTTATCAGCACTTGAAAGACGATCCTTCGTTCCAGGCAGAACTCGATGAGTACAGACGAGACTTTATTGGTGGTCCAACCCCTCTACAAAAGGCAGAACGACTCACGGAGCTGTGTGGTGGAGCCACCATTTGGTTGAAACGAGAAGACTTGTGTCAAACAGGGTCTTGTGCCGTCAACAATGTGGTGGGCCAAGCTCTCTTGGCGAAGCGAAGCAACAAGCGACGCATCATTGCTGACACTGCTTCGGGACAGAATGGCGTTGCTGTAGCCACAGTCTGTGCCAAGCTAGGCTTGGACTGCACTATATACATGGGCGAGACAGACATTCAGCGAGACCCATCGAACACAGTTGAACAAATGAGAGCACTGGGAGCAACGGTGGTCCCGGTCGAGCATGGAGAGGGGAAGCTCAAGGACGCCATCAACGAGGGAATGAGGGATTTTGTGGCGACAATTCAAGACTCCTACTACATGGTTGGATCCGTTGTTGGGCCTGATCCCTTTCCAGCCATGGTGCGTGACTTTCAAAGCGTCATTGGACAGGAGATTCGGCAGCAAGCTCTAACCAACATGGGGAAGCTACCGGATGCAATCGTCGCGTGTGTTGGACGAGGCAGCAATGCAATTGGAGCCTTCAGTGCGTTTCTCACTGACGAAGAAGTTGCCCTTTTTGGTGTAGAGGGGCACCATTGCGCCTCGCTGTCCAAGGGCAGCCATGGGGTCTTTCACGGCGCAAAATCGTACATTCTTCAAGACGAGCAGTCGGGTCAGATGGAAAAGACCCATTCAATTGCTGCCGGTTTGGACTACCCTGTAGTTGGACCAGAACACGCCTATTTGAAGGACACTGCCAGAGCGACTTATGTGTCCTTGGCGGACGAGGAGGCACTAGAAGGGTTTCGAGCCCTGTACGAGCAGGAGGGGATCCTCTCTGCCTTGGAGCCCAGCCATGCGATCTTTTACGCTATGCAGGTAGCCCGCGAAATGGGCACTGGAAAGGACATTGTCATCAACATTTCAGGACGTGGACATGAAAGACCAGGGGCTTGAACAGGATTCTCTGACTATTTCCTGGCGAAGCTATAACGCCTCCAGAGGGGTCGACGTTCGACGAGTTCAAATGGCATGAAGAAATGCGTTCACGAAAGTCACCGCCACCACACAAGCTCTGTTTTGCAGGATCCATTCGAATCATGGCGATCCATAGCTTCATTGTTGCCACACAAAATGTTAGTATTTGATAAATATAGATCGAATCTGAAGCCTTGTCCGCTTGTCGCGGATCTGCAACCGTAGCTGGCTTGTGCACAGCCAGACAATAAAACTAAACGTCAACCTCTGATTGAGATTCTTCTATTCGCTAAACTCAGATACCGGTCGCCGAGGCCCTATCAAGAACCTTTTAGACTGGATCAATTGGTTCAGTCCCCCCTGTTCGCTAGCTAGCTAGCTAGCCGAGCCCACAATCAAGAACCTTCGACGTGATCTTACCATGTTCGTCTCTACTCTAGCTACGACTGTAGCTAGCTAGCTAGTAGACTATGTGATCTGGAAGACAACTTTGGAGTTGAGGTAGTTGCGGTAAATTATAGTTTAACTTTAACCCAATATTTACCGGAACTACCCTTCTAAACCTGTGCTGTAGCCTTACTAATAGTCGAGTTCTTGTCGAGCGCAGACAAACTGACGACTGAAATCCACGTCTCTTTCAAAGATCCTTCGCACAAAGGCTCATTCCTCTTTTCACAGAACACTTAAAACCAGATCGCCACCATGAAGATCTTTCTCTCCTTGCTTTCCTTCCTTGCCTTGTTCGCTCTTGTTGATGCGGAGCAGACCCTCTTTGCCCAGGACTTCAAGTCCAATTTGGATGTGGCAAGAGACAGCACGAAACTGGGCAATCCCGCCCAAAAGCGCGCACGAAAGTCGGGCTACACCTACGTCGACAAGTTCCGCACCGAAGCCACCAGCACCGTGACCTCCATGGGAACAAAGGTTGACACCAATATTGTCATGCAGATTGAAAACGAGATGGCGGTGAAGGACGTCGACGGCGGCGGACAGCAACTCGCTGTCAATACCACTCGCATGATGACTCATATGACCACGTTTGGTTTGAATCTATCCTGCGACTCTGACAAATCCACAAACGCTGCAACTTGCAAGGATGTTTTGGACATGGTCGGAACAACGTTGACTTTGATCACTGACGATGACGGCAACATTGTGGAGGCCAGCGGCCCCGGCGCCCAGACAGCTGAGCAGGTAGGCTCGTTGTTGCATGGAAGCTCCGGCGAAGACAAGGACTCCACGCATCTCAAGGACCAAATGCTCGCAATCTCCCGTGTGTTGAAGTTTGTTCCTGGAAAGGCAGTCAAGCCCGGCGACACCTGGATGACGAACGTTGATATGGGCGAATTGGGTTCGTTGCACGGGGTCAGCAAGTTGACGGGTTACAGGGACTTCAACGGCATTGACTGCGCTGTTGTTTTGATGGATGGAAAGCTACACATGGATGTCGGGAAGCTCAGCAAGACGATGGGACTTCCCTCAGATAGCTTCGCAGACGACTTCGTCGATGCTGACATGACGCAGGCACTGTTCTGGGACTACGACGAGGACTTGGCACTCTGGTCGGAAGCCAACAGCTCGTATGTGCTTCGGATGAAGGAACCTTTGAGCGGGTCCTTGTTGGACATTCCTGCCAGGTCTACCGAGTATATCATGACGAGCATCAAGGAAAAGGGGGGCACTACACCTGAAGAGGAGTCTTCCAAACCTGAGGATGCTCCCGACCAGGCGCAAGCCACGGAAAGATCCGGACAAAGCAGCGACGCAACAAAGACGAGGACAAGCAAGGGCGCCACGGCATTCGGTATTGCATTGGTTATCGTTGTGGCTTCTGTAGCCGTAGTCGTCGCGACGATTACTGTTGGCCGGCGCCGTGCTCAGAAGAGCAACCGCCCGACTGAGGGCGAAGGTTTGGTGGTGGGTCCGGGTGTGTTGGCCTGATCTTGTGTTTGTTGGAGCAGAATCTCCCATAACTTTATAAGGAAACTTCATTCTACGGCGATCAAGGCTACCGTACTGTAGATGCAATCATCTTAACGATTAGATGTATTCTGATCTGCGCAACACGTCGAGCAGGTTTTTCAAAGGGAGGAGCTCGTATGTTGCGTCGCACAGCCTTGTTCTGGTACAGTTTGCGTTCACTGGAAGCTCTACCGGCAGGCTGCATGCATGCCACAGGGCAAATGTGCCGCCAATGCGACTTTCGGCAAACTGTCTTGACATCTATTTGGCTAGCCAGCCAGCTCTTCACCACAGAAGTCCTGGCGTGATGCAAGAGGGTGTGGGGGGACGAGAGAAAGAGCTCCCGAATTCTCCCTCAAATCATATTATTTGCTTTGCTGGCTTTTGCCATCCTTGCACGGCCTTCCGTCCGACATTTTTTAACAGCCTCCAGCCTCAAGCGGAAGTCCTGGATCCGCGTCCAATCATACGTAATCCAGACATTTGCTGCCTTGGAAGAGTTGTGCTGCCCCCAGACCTAGCAAGCCTTTCGAAATTGGATTAGGTGCATTCTATGTACATTATTTTCTATTGGTTTGTATGGTGTTCTTTGTACATGTACAGTGTATGAACACTCAAATTGGAGTGAGGCAAGTTCAAAATTCTCGTGTTGCTTGCTCTTCAATCCCATCGAACCAGGGACTGCTCAAGGCTTCTTTCAGTGTGCACCTGTCGTCAGGATCAACCTGGAGTAGCTGGGCAATCAAGAATTTGGCATGATAGGACACCTTGTTCCATTGTCGACGAGGGAACTTAAACCTGCCCAAGGATACTTGATCAATTGTGTCACGAGCATCTTTGCCAACAAAGGGAAGGCACCCAGACAGGAGGTAGTACAGGACTACACCACAACTCCAAATATCACAACGTTCACCATATCCCTTGTCTTCCTCATCTGGAGCAAAGACTTCCCAGACTTCAGGAGCAGCATATTCAAAAGTCCCCTGCATGGCATGCATTGGGACCTTCCTTCCATTTGGGTATCGAAAAGGTTTGGCCAATCCGAAGTCCGCAACTTTGATGGTTGTGTCATCCTCTTGCGATTGGAGCAGAATGTTCTCGGGCTTGATGTCGCAGTGGGCAATGCCCCTGGAGTGGCAGAACTGGATAGTCTCCAGCAGAGTCTTGAAAAGGACTTTGGCTTTCTTCTCACTGTAAGCACCATTCTGGGATACCTTTTCAAAAAGATCCCCCCCCTCCATTTCTTCCATGACAATGAAAGATGCGTCATTGTCATGAAACAAGTCCACCACTTGGACAATATTTGGGCAATCATCAAGCAGGTCCATGATTTTTATCTCTTTCTCATTGTATAGTTCATCTGGCACAGCTTTGACAACAAAGGATGATCCCATGGTGCTTGAACTGTCTTTTTCTCCCTGCCTCTGAAAGCACTTGTGTACACTTCCAAAGGAACCTTCACCGATGGCCTGGCCCATTTCATACCAAGTGTGAAAACTGAAGCTGTCTTCTCCTTCCCAGTATTGGCAGTCCACCACGTTGGACTCAATCAGGATGGATGCAGATACCGACAAGTCATCATGTTCCAAATTGTTCTCGGTGTTTTCCTCCGAGAGCTCTTCCAATTTGTGGCTGGACGAAGACTTGATTAGCTCCACGGTATTGGTCAAAGGCTGGGCCATTGTGCTCCTCTCGTTGATTTTCATCTGGTCAACCTAGCTAGAAGAGGTTCAGTTTAGTTGTTTGCTGTCTCTGTCTTTTAAAAAAAATTGTGAGATAAAGGTGAAAACGCCTCAAGGGCAATACCAGATTTTCTGATGCGTGATGGACGCTTCCTTCTGCGTTGTTGTGATCACAGGCGGAAGGTGTTAACATATCAACGGACCATGCTAGCACCGTACTGAATTCTGCGTCCAACACCATACGGAGGACAGGGTCGCTCCCGTTACATTTTCTACAGTAGAGAAATTTGCTGCGAGGCTGGCGATTTCAGATGCTTTCGACTGCGTTTCTTCCGAGTCGAGTCGAAGGTTTTTTAGTGCGGGAGCACTGAAATGGACTGAATGGGCCCACTTTGATCAATGTTTGCAGTGTTTACTGGGTTCCAATTTGAAGGAGCTGGCCCTGCATTTAGCCATCCAGCCAGATACAACTCCCATTCACCACCAGATCTTGATTGAGCGACATGCTTTTCCTAGATTATTGAGTGACAAGCAACTTCAAGGTGTTCCTGATAACCAGCCAACTATGGTTTCAATACCGGTTGTGACTTGAAGGAAGGCGACGCTGATTCAATGCACCAAAAAGTTCTAGTACATTTCTGTACGAAGCAATAGTGCGTGGGCCGTGTTGACTGACTAGTAACAGACAGACTGACTGCCTTGACTTCACGTGCAAAACCAGATTTCCCTTGCAAGATAATCCTTCCATCAACTTCTGAAGACACAATGTTGTGTCCAACTCAATCAGTGGCCACTGTTACCAATCTGACCTATTGTTAGTTGGTGGGAAGCTACGACTAGCGAGCTAGCTGCCACCACTTGGCATCTTCCTCTTTTAATCGCCTGCCCTCTGTTCCCGTTCTCACAATTTCTTGTTCTGAACTGTTCTGGTGGTCTCGTGTGTAAAAGTGAAATTCTGCCAGTATCAATCACGATGACGCAAAAGTGCGTCTGTACCGGTACGAGCACAAGTAACTCGTGTTTGCAGCCATCCCGCCCAGTACTGCCGGAAGCTGCTATAAGCCAGCGCAAATGTGCTAATATTATTATTATTATTACCGGTACTAGGCTCCCCTTTTGGACCTCACCCGCTGGTTAGTGCGCTGGCTGGGTTGTGGAGCTAAAAGCCAAAATAATAAGCGACCACCCACCCCAAAAAGGAAGCCAGCTCTGGCTAGCTAGCTAGTAGCGGGTTTGGAAATGGCTTCTTTCTACGCACGCTTGCTTGCTAGAGATTACCTTTTGTAGATATACACTTGTTCCATCCTCTATATGTTTATTCTATTCTTTCGTCTATTCTTGTTATTATTAGCCATTATTATAGCTTTGGAAGTTTCTTGTAGTTGGGAAGCTGTTAGTTCGTTTTTAGCTGCTGTTGCGGTCTTCATCGTCGTTAGTTGGTATCAAACCACGGACTGGCCAATGCTTCTTCCAAGGTGCATCGTTTATCAGGTTTAACCTGCATCATCTTGGCAATGAGAAGCTTGGCATCCCGGGAAACGTGTTTCCAGTATCGTTTGTGGAACTTGAACTTGCCCTTGCCAACGACCTTGATCATTTCATCGGATGTATCGGCTTCAAAGGGCGCGTATCCTCCCAGCAAGACATACAAGACAACCCCGCAGCTCCAAATGTCGCATCGTTCGTCGTACCCAATCTCTGTGTCGTCTTCTGGACGATTAAAGACTTCGGGGGCGGCGTATTCGGCACTGCCGTGCATGTCAAAGATACGTTCGATGGTGCCATCTTCGTCGTCGTGTCGGAATCGTTTGGCCAATCCAAAGTCGACCAGTTTCATGGTGGTGTCATCGTCTTGCGATTGGAGGAGAATGTTCTCGGGCTTGATGTCGCAGTGGGCAATGCCCCGTTGATGACAGTACAGGACGGTCTCCAACAGAGTTTTGAACAGGACTTTGGCTTCTTCTTCGGAATAGCATTCCTTTTCGGCAATACGCTCCAACAGTTCTCCACCTTGAATTTCTTCCATGACGATAAAGGACTCGTCCGATTCGTGAAAGACATCTTTGAGTTGAACAATGGTGGGACATTCCTTGAGTTCGTCCAGGATTTCAATCTCTTCGTGGTTGTACTTGTCCATTGGAACGGACTTGACAGCATAGGCATCTTCACTACCATTGGCGGGGTAGCATTTGTGAACACTGCCAAAGGCTCCTTCGCCTAGGGCTTCTCCCAAATCATAAGATGCATGGAAGGATTCTTCATCAACACCGTTATAGCGACCAACCAATGGCTTTTCTTGTCGTTGCAGTTGTCTTGGAAGGAATTGGAGGTCGGTCAGGTCCATGGACTCGTCCAAGTGGCTATGGTGTTGGGGAAGAGACAGGCTGCTGTTGCGGTGTCGCTTGCTACTGCTGCCTCCAATGGTCTGATCTAGTTCGTCATCGTCATCTGTGGTAGTACCATAATAATAATCATCATCCCACATACAGAGAGAGTCTTCTTCGTCAAAGTCAAACTCTCCATCGAGAGAACCCAACATGCTAGTGGCGGCAGTCATGGTAGACCCCAGCGAAGCGTTAGCTTTCTTCATTACCCGTTGCCAGCAGCCAAACGATTTGCGGCTGTTGCGTTGAGTCATTGGAGATTCAGATTCTTTCATTATAAGGGATATGTCCACTTCTTGTAGTTGTTGTTGTTGTTGTCTTTGCTGTTGTTGTCTTTGCGAACTGCTGATAACATTCATCCTTTACTGTACCGGGCTGCTTTTGGCTTTTTGCTTGCTTGGTTGTGATGATGTTCTTGGGAGTTATCTTACTTATTTTGTGAGGTGATACATACATACATACATACTGCAGGACCCAAGAAGGAGAATTAAGCTCGCCCAAACAGGCATACAGTAGGCATGTATCTTGTGAAAGGTGGATTAGAAAAAACTCCCTTCCAGCTACGGTAGCTACTCGTAGCGAGGGTGACCAGGTGGCTTTGCCGGAATGGGATGGGTTCAAGTCTAGGAACGATTGACACTGGATCCAAGGCTTTCTTGTTTTCGTCGAACATTAGGCTTCAATAATGACTTAAGAAATCACGTCAACTCTCTTGTGGTTCAGTCTTACCCTTAACTCGCTCATGTCGTTCTGGGTATATTATTCTAAGTAAATTATATGCCAGAGTCATCAATTACGACCAAGTGTCATTAGACAAGACAGTTGCGCAAAGGACTTTTGTGCCTCTTTTGGTGAGTGGCAGCTGTGTGTCATTTATTGTTGTCGGCAGTTCGTCGAAGCAGCAAGACTTGGTGTGTTCTCACACAAGACCCACGGTGTGGCCTCCCAATTCTTTGGGTTCCCCGTTCACTCCATCACTGCAAGGTATCTACCGGTATCGATCTATCGTACTGCAGTACAATTACCCACACACAGTCTTGTTGGCTACTGTACGAACGTTTAGCAGTCAGTAGCCACTTCGTTCCGTGATGTGCTGGAGGTTTCACTGTTGCGTTTGGTATCTGGTGCGGTACGGTACGGTACGGTACGCCAGTAGAAGACTGGAGCACTCGAAGCCACCAGACTAATATTTCCAATTACTGGATCACAGATCAGTTGGTTGGAGGTACCTGGTACCAGTTAGGAGGGCCAAGAGTCGTTGGATGAACCAACGAAGCTAGTTTGCTTAGTTAGTACGATAAATAGAAAGATATTCAGTAAGTACCCGAGCAGCATGACGGAACGATTGATCTACGGACTGGCTTCAGTCCACCCAACTGAATCACCGTACCACACACGGTTGCCCAGCAGGCCAAGCTTGCTACTAGCTAGGCAGGAAAACTCGAGTCGAGTCAAGCCAAGCTATCATAGCTAGCAAGAGGAAAACTCGGCTCAGTCTATCCGTCTATCCTGCCTGGTTGGAAGCCAGCTTCCAATCGGCTCGACTGAGTTGACTCACTCAACCCCCCACGTACCGTAGAGCGAAGCCCGAGCGACAGAGGTGCAGTCATTCTGGTTCAGGCTGCTCTTGCCACAGCACCAGGCACTAGCTACTGGATGATTGTTTGCTTGACTTGTATTCATTCCTCTACCGTATCCTCGCTCTGGCTCGGCTACCGTAGCTACTGGTAGCTACTGGAAAGTTCTGGCCTCCGTGGTTGGACTGTTGTTGTCGCTTGCGTATTTCCAACGAACTTTTAAAAAAAATCACTCGACTCGAGACTCGAGTCAAAGTCAGCTACGGCCACACGGCACGGTAGAGGTGCTGTGGTGCCGATTGCTACCCCCGCCTCACTGGCAACATCGCAACATAGTCGCTACAGCAGCCCCCCTCAAGGTGGCAACCACAACAGCCAGCTATCAACAGTGTTGAGCAGCCAGCCAGCAGGCAGCCAACTAACTAATATATCCTTCGTTGTAACGTTTCATCAACTCAGGAGCGAGGGACGCTGTTTCTAGCTTAGTAGTCAGAGGATCCGAGGCATGCTTGGCTTGCCTGCACTGCCTGCATGTTAGGAGCGTGCTGGACGCAAGGTTTGGCTGGTTGAAGGTCACCGATCGACTGTAGTTACTGGATGGAAACTGGCTGGTTGCATGCCTGCACTGGAAGCAAAGAAGCAAGCCCTAGTATACTACTGGCAGCACACGCAACATCTCAAAGGCTTCACTTTCATCGCTCCTCGTTCTACCGTGATAGCAGGAGCTCCACCAAAGAGTACATAGGTACCAACAGTGACTCCAAGCCCAAGTTCGACCAGCCAGACGGGGTGAGGTCCTTCAACTTTTGCCTTCCTCGGGAGCTTGCTGTTGCGTACTGAGGAGTGTGTTTTCGGCCTGACGCAACAAGAATGCCGGAAGTGGTGCAAGGAAATGGAGGGGCTGCCGTCCTTTGCACGTTAACGATATAACAGCGCAGCCAGAACAAGAACCAAACCGAAGCATACGCACGATGAGCGAGATACGGGCTGAATGCTTGCTATCAGCTAGCAATCTTTTAAAGGAGCCTCCTAAATACTGGTACCTCTTGTATTGTAGATGACGGTTGCATCCTGCCCCTTTCAAGCACAAATACGCAGATAAATAAAAAGCGGCTATGGCTTCTGCTATGAAATGCAACGCCACATTCCCTCTGGACCAGCTTTTCACGCGGCCTTTTGCGTCTCCTTCCACGCAGCTGCTTCGCTCTCTTTACATTTGGGGGGCGGACCTTTGAGCAGGTTTGATCCCAAAGCTGCCTGTGACAGTAATGCTGTCTTGGCTGGGAATGCGATGTGGAGTGGGGACCTGATGTCCAGCACCGTCCCCGTCACGCCAAAACCAATATGCATCACCATGATGGGAATGAGCATGCATCTTTTTAGCGCCATGGAAATGCCATGTCTGGATAACGGTGCATCCATTCACATCCATGGATTCTGGAATCCCTTCTAGTAGCGCCCACATTGCTGCGTTTTCACCACCACTTTCGTTCATTTTGAAAAAGGCATTCTCATGAGTGGACTCATTCATCATTTTTACCGTGGGACGCTGGAAGTTTTCCGCTTTTAGCTGACCCGCAAAGAGCTGTTTGTGGAACACAAAGCCATCCCAAGAATGCATTCTCTTGCCTTCCCAGCATCTGGCGGGCATCTTCTTCTCATATTCTTGCGGGTTATTCCCATGGATAAAGAAGAAATGTTCTTTGGTTGGTGAAGGCACAGTATCTGGATGGAATCCCCAGGTTGATAGTGCCAGTACAGTGGTATTCTTGATATGCTTGGCCCACCGCACAGAGTCATCAAAAGCTTGATCAGCATTTTCCACAATGACAACATCCCCCTTGACGTTGCTTCCAGTTGCAATGTGGAACATCTGGTAATAGGTTGGTTGTTCCGGGATATCCATGCAATCTAGGACCGGCCTTTTTGTGCTTTGATATGCGTCATCGACAAGGTTGCTCCCCATTTTTTTCTTGAATTTGCGTTGCAGTTGCCTCATCCTGTCTTTAAAATGGGTACAGTTGGATTCCCAGTTGGCACCATCCAGGATGACAAGAACTTGATCAAAATGAGGATTGTTGAGGTTATTGAGCATAGCTGCTTCTATTTCCTGGCGATGGAGATTGGGTTTCTTCTTATGCAGTGGCTCTGCCCAGAAGCTTGTGACAAGAGAAAGGGATACAGCAGGTGGGACATGCTGCTCCGTCAAAGCTGAGTCCTTTGTCGTGTTGTTGTCGGCTTCAGCGGGAGCACGGGGCGTGGTCCTACTAGCTGTCCTATTCATGGTCATGGTGTTGCCATTGATTTCGTGAAGGCCTCTAGCGTCCAACCCATCCACCGGTTGACCAATATTCTTCTGCTGCTGAACACTCCTCGCAAATTTGGATGGAAAGGCGCACAACAGTGTGACCAGCATACCAAACAACAGGAAGTTCCGATACCGACCCCCCCTTGGGGAGCGAGACAGAGGATGACTGGATGGGCCAGGAGAGCTCATGGCACGTTGCTACCAAAAGTACCAGTGTGGGGTTGGAGGTGGGCGGTGGATTGAGACGTCAGGGCTGGAGAGGCGGTCAGCTAGCTAGCGTGGGTACACTTGCAGACTGGATTGGATGTGTGGTGTGCATACCTGTAATGTGATGAGATGGCAAGCGGAACTTCCTCTTTGTTTTTGGTCCGCGTTGGTCTATGCGCGTCAGAGTTTTCAATCACTTGGATATATATGGTCGTTTCTCCCAGGCTTTAAGGGCGCACATAGACCACGTGTTGTCCCTTGTTTCGCACATACCGGTATGCAGCAATCGAATTCTAGTGGAACGGAAGCTGCTAGCTAGCTGGATACACTCCAAACTAAGTAATAAATACCCAATTTTGCTGTGAAGTTAGTAGTTTTAAAAGTCGGACATAAGAGAACCCTGCATAGGAGTCAAACTACTTGACGGCGGCGCATAGTACATGTACAGGTACTGGCAACTGGCAGTGGTTCGGAGTACATGACATTGTAGCTTGTTGCTGAAGGTCTGTGCCAGCGGTTGAGTCAAAAGATTTCAAACAAAGTTCTAAAATGAACTTACTTCCTACGATAACATTCTAATCTAACTCTTCTTCATCTATTCCAAGACAATCACGCATTGCCTCGGCCAACTCCTTTGGGGATAGTTTCTTTCTTTTGGCTCTTGCGTCCACATTGACTTTCTTTTCACATTTCTTTTTCATCCTTTCTTTAATTTCACGTCTCTCTGCTGGGGTCAGCTGCAGCGCTGCCTTCTGGGGAGGTGCGATTGAAAAACTGGCTGTGACATTGGCACTGTCTAAAGCAGGTAGTCGATAGGGCCTAGGTACCCTAAAACCATACTTCTTTGGGTCTTTCCTGTCCCAATACCAATACTCTTCGTTGAGCTCATGGGCATGCATCTTTGGAGCGCCATGGAAGTGCCATGTTTGGATAACTGTGCAACCATTGACATCCATTGCTTCTGGGAGCCCTTCCATGAGGGCCCAAAGTCCCGCATTCTCACCACCCATTTCATTCATTTTGAAGAAGGCAGAATCACGCCTCCTGCTAGTCGCCCAATGAACTGTTGGGCGCTTGAAGCTTTCAGGGTGCAGCCGACCGGCCACTAGCTTCCTGTGAAAGACATAGGCATCCCAGGATTTTTCCCCTTCTTTGCATCTGGGTGGAATCTCCGTCTTGTACTCTGTAGAGCTTGTCCCATGGATGAAGATGAAATGATCCTTGGTTGGCGAAGGCACCCTATCCATGTTCAATCCCCAGGTTGGTAGTGCCAGTACAGTAGTGTTCTTGATGTGTTTTGCCCACTGCACTGATTCATCAAATGCTTGATCTGCATTGGCCACGATAACAATTTCACTGGTGATGAGTCCTGGGTTGGTTGCATACATGAACATGTCGAAATAGTTAGGTTGGCCGACCCAAACGTCAACGCAATCAAGGACTGCCCGCTTTTGACTCTTGTAGTCTGTAGAATTCACATCAATCCCCATGAACTGATTGTACTTGGCAGCATGCTCTGCCATTCTTTCCTTGAAGTGCAAACAGTTGCAACTGGTGGTGGCCCCATCCAGGATCACGACAACTTGGTCAAAGTAGGGATTGTTTAGATTGTTCAGGATCGTCACTTCGATTTCTAGGCGATGCAATGTGTTTTTACTCTGTTCTTCAGGTGGCTGAGCCCAGTAACTGGTGACGAGTGAGAGGCTTCCTGGTTTGGCAGGAGGGAGGATAACAGGCTTTGACCCATAGGAAGTTGGCACGTTCTGAAAGACAGGTTCACTTGCGAATGCGTCTTGGATTGGGTTCGCCGGTAGGCGGTAGGGACCAGGAACGTTATGGCTCTTTGCCGCTGAGTTCTGGTGCCACAAACCATAACGCCGCATGTGAAAGTTCGGCGAATCATGAAGATGCCATGACCGAATCACAGAGCATCCGTTGAAATCCATTCCACCGACATCACCTGTGCTTTGCATAAGACCCCACAGAGCCGCCCTTTCGGCGTCTGGTTCATTCGTAAGGAAAGGGCCCAGCTTCCTCTTGTTTGTAGTTTTGCGCATGAAGGATTCCCGGTTTACCCGACCCTGCAACAGCTTCTTGGGAAAGACGTAGGAATCCCAGGACTTGGTCTCATAATCATTGCATTTGTTGCTGATCCCTTGCTGGTACCCTTTGGATTCGTTACCAAGAACAAATCGAAAATGTTCTTTGACGGGTGACGGTGTTGCATCCTTGTGGAACCCCCAGGTTGGAAGTACCAGTATAGTGTTCTGTTTGATGTACTTGGCCCAACGGACAGTGTCATCAAAAGCTTGGTCAGCGTTGGCCACAATGACAATTTCGCCAGTGACGTGACCTCCAGTGGCATGGTTGAACAGCTCGTGATAGTGAGGCTGGTAGCGGATGTTGACGCAATCTAGTACTGGCCTGTTTCCTTTCTTCGAGTTTTGATGATATGCGCCATGGACAAGGTTGCCGCCCATTTTCTCGTTGAATTCTTGGAGCAGCTGTTTCATGCGGTCTTTGAAATGGGTACAGTTGGATTCCCAGTTAGCACCATCCAGAAAAACAATTACTTGGTCAAAGTGAGGATTGTTGATGTTATTGAGCATGGCTCCTTCCATTTCTTGACGATGGATGCCCTTCCTTGCCGCTGGTGAGTCGGCCCAGAAACTGGTGACAAGGGAGAGAGTAGTATTATTGTCGATCAGAGCTTCATTAGCGGTGCCATTCATTGCAGAGAGACCTCTGGCAGAAGAACCAGCATCAGCATTAGCATCCGTGCCAGCCTTGATGGGCTGAGTGCCACCCCGCTCCAAGTTGAGACGGACAGAAGTACTGGTATTAAAGGAAAATACGATGCCTCCATTCTTCAGCTGGGCAGACTTTGTAATTTCCGATGGGAACAGGAGAGCCAACAAGCTCAGTAGGATGCAGATAAACCAGTAGTAAGCCCTTTTTCTTCTTCCTCTAGGAAGGGAAATCGGAGAAGTCGAAGGGCTCAGACTCGAGCTCATGGTTGTTTTGCCGATCGACCGACTCTTTAGTTAATGCAACTTGGACCGCGGCTACAACTGTGACGTGAAAACAATGGGTTGTGTTTCATTCGAGTTTGTACGTCGGTGGCATCATACCAGAACCATCCACAACTCCTGCAGGTTTGAGACGCGATTTCCGAGGTGTGCGGGCCAAAATGGTTTGGGCACTGGTAAGAGAGGTGCTTTAAATCTCGTCGTGCGCCGAAATCGTGACTCGACTCAGTTCGCTCCTGTTGAGCATTGAGCAGCCAGTCTGTAAGAGCTTTAACCATGATGGTATACAAAATCGTGTATTAAATACAGAACTGGTACATCGATCATAGATTGTTTTAATTAAAGAGAGTGACTCGAGTCTCGAGTCTGTCGCAACAGAATATGCATAGCATAAATCCTAGTGAATTCGATCTATGGAACCTACTCGCGAGCAACTTGTTTCATTAATTAGCGAGAGTGAGTGTAAGTCAGCCAAGTGGAGCTGCGGGGAAGGGCTATTCTGTTTGGTCCACTAGATAATCTTCACTTTGAGTCATGCTTAAAAATTCCAGATTGCTTCATTCTTTCAGATTTTGTCACTTTACTAGTTTTCTATTCTAGCTAGATTGTATCATTCTTCCACATCAGTCATTCTTTCAAAAGAACACAAATGGAAACAGACAAATATGACAAAGTAATACCCTATTTATGTATTTCCAGTGGAGTGACGCGTCAGTCGGAACTCGGAACAGAATACTGACGTAGACCAGTACAAATACTGTACGAACCATTCAACGATGTATTTCTTCAACATGCCGCCGTCCTCTGCAGTACCAGGTAGCGGTACCACGCAACAGGAAGGAATGCATGGTGCCCCGAAGACGCTTGCTCATGGCGATGATGAAAAATGTTGGTTTGGGGTGAAGGGAGAGGAATCGAATCCTTGGCCATAGAGAACCTAGCTAGGACCCAGCCTCTAGACAGCATCACAGAGTGACAGCTTTAGGATCAAGCCTCTTCTTCAGTTTGCAGCCACTGTTTAATTAAACGTCTTGGCAGCAAATCCACCCTTTCGGATTGGTAGCACAGTCCACAGCAGTTTCGCTGCCCCACACAGAAGTGAAAGTACTTGTACACAGGGACTGTAAGATTGTGGGATTGTACCCAATGGGACAATTCGATTCGATTCAATTCAAGCAAATCAAAGGCTTTTTTACCAGCCGAAAATTTTAGATTTGTTTCTTTCATTGACACGACCACAGACGCTTCGGCAGCCATGCATTGACGTCATTGAATTGTGAATCGAGAAAAGAGAATATCGTACACTAGGGAAATACTGCACAAGCAACACCTCCGGCTCTGTTTGCTCTCTACTAGCTAGACCAAGCACAATTGAGAGCACACAGAGACGGGGAGGGGATGCACTGATGGCTAGCTAGTCTACCTGTAGAGATCTTGGCATTTAATGCGGATCAAAATATCAAAAATATGCAGGTATCTGGTACCTGAACTAAGAAGAGAGATCGATGCATGTATCTGGTTTGGTATGAACTGGCAACTAACTGTGCCGCCTTCAAGCGGCCACCGCGATGGCTGGAGCCCGGAGAAGAAGCAGGTTGAGAAGCATGCCATTGAAATCATTCTCTTCCAAAAGGTCGATCCTCGTTGGACTCTGATCTGCCGCGTCAATCCAGCCACTTAGGCGGTGAAGCTCTCTGTTGGAGCTTTCATAGTCTCCGCGTTCAAAACAGATGCGGGCCTTGTTGTTGCAGGCCGCAGCCATGGAGCCAGACAGGTCTACCAGCCTGGAGGTTCTTTGAAAGAGTCCAATGCAGGTCTCATACAGATTCATCGCCTTGGTCTTGTGGATGCTGGTGACATTGTCGTGTTTGGACATGAAGTCGAAACACAAAGCAATGTTGAAGACAACAACAGCACAGAATACAGCGGCGCCATCCTGAGAAGTAGGAACGGTCTCATTGAAAACCAATGGCTTTTCGTAGACAAATGAGCCGCCCTCTGATTCTCGTTCCAACTTGCTTGGAGTTCCTTCCTTCTTGAGGAAAGATATGCCTAGGGCTGAAGCCTGTTCTGGCGTGGGCACCACCACGCGGTCTGGCCCTGCTGCCTCCACAATGGCAGCGTGACGGGGAGCGAAGCGAAACGCCACGAGAAAGGTATCTAGAGCCCCGGCTATTTCCCCAGTCACAAGCGCATGCGCTCCCAAATTGTTCATTCTAATTGCTTCGGCGATGGAATCAACCATGGTCACACTCTGTTACCTGTATTCCGGTGTAAACTTAGCTGTGGGCATGAAATGAACGGAGGGTGTGCCGAAGAAAGTCTTCTAGCTAGCTAGGAAACTTTGATCGAGAGAGACGCATGCAGCCAAGAGCAAGAGCAAAAAGGTTTCCGCGCAGGAAGCTTGGCTGGCGCCTCCCTTCCATGGAAGCACTTGATGAATAACCCACTGTAGATGAATGGAATATCGACGAAGAAAAGAACCGACGTCGGCACGGAAGTCTCAGGCGAACATTGAATGAATCATGGATAAGAACGTCACCGCCGGTTCTATCAAAAGGATATATTAAAAGTCATATGCATGGGACTTTCCCATCTTCTCGGTGGTTTTAAATAAAAAGAGAACAGCTGGAGCGTTGCTCAATCGTGTCTGTGGTTGTGTTTACGGACTGGCACTCCGGTGCAGATTCATTTGACATTTCCAAAATTGGTTTTGGCCAAACCAAAATCGTAAGCGGTCATTTCTGAAAGCAATGGTCATTTCACGAATCCTGCATTGAAAAGACTGGATCCCACAAAGAAAAGATTGAAGAAAATAAAATGAATATTACCACCATGGCAACAGTGTTGACCAAATGGCCATTAGCTTTACCAATACATTGATCTGATTGACTCTTTTCTAGGAGTAGCTCCCCAACACACTCACAGACACTCCCCTTGAAAAGAGTCAATCAACTCTAAGGTTTCCTATGGAGCCTCTATCAAAAATCAGGCTTGGATTCCATATTGTTGTCATTCTGCCATGGATTTCTCCATGGGAAAGGTGCTCCAGTCTTCACTCTCAGCACTCAATCTGCACTGCAGAGTCTGGTAGAGGAGTGGGTGGCTCTGCATGAAGACTTGAGCACCCATCCCAAAGAATCAAAGGAGAATTGTTGACTTGATGGCCGCAAAAAAAGGAGCAATTCTCATGTTTATAGTCAATCAACTAATCAAATCAGTAGAGAAGCTGTCACTTGTTGTTCGTTGTTTGTGTAGTACCACTTGCTAGTAGAGGTTTCACAGCCGCTTCGTGGCTCCGTGGAGCGATCCTCGTGCATAAAAGAGGCTCCGTGAGGCCCGAGACCGAATTGATCCGTCAAACGGAAGACGCTTGTTGCCATCGCTTATTGTTATAGTAGTAGTAGTAGTCGCTTGTTGTTGCATTAGCCATAGCCGCTTGTTGTTGTTGTCGGTCGCTCCGTGGAAGAGGAGGTGTCATGGTCGCTGCGTGGAAGAAGAAAGAATCGATTTAGGGCAGAGTTTCAAACTCTGCCCTAAATTTCAAACTCTGCCCTAATTTAGGGCAGAGTTTGAAACTCTGCCCTAATTATAGGGTAGAGTTTTGAAACCATGCCCTAATTTTGGGTAGAGTTTGAAACTCTGCCCTACAGCGAATCCTACCCTAAATCCTGGGTTCCCCATTCGCACCCACTGAGGCACGCTCCTGGTTGCTGAAGTGACGAATTTGTCGATCCAAAAGAACACGGTGCGATACATGTATTATGAGTTCCGTCCACACAAGCTCGTTGCGGCGGCAACGAACACGCCCAGATTGCAACCAGACGGAGAGTTTTGCAAAGACAGAATCAAGAGTGGACCCACCTCTCTTCTATCCGTTCTCTTTGGTTGGGGAGGCCCTTCATGGCACTATCATACAATCAACATTTCTCTTATCACTGTCAATCAAATCCTCGTCATCCCTCCGCCAGTGGGGGGGGGGCGTCATGGCCGCCTCAATCTCTGACCCTGGCTGTTCCAACAGGACATACTTATATCCTTGCATCAGGTTTTCTCTGTCCCATCAATTCTGCCCCCCGCCCTCTACCAGTTGGGAGGGTACCTCATGGCACTCTACTACTCTCTCAATCTGTTGGGACAGCATTGGATCCGTTTTCTCTTATCCTTCTTGAATCTCTGCATCTGTTGGGCATGTTTTCCGAATGGATTTTCCAATGCCCGTGCAGCTGCAAACCTGCTTGCCTGCTTGACTCTTGGATCTTTTTGACTGAGTTCATCAGCTTGACTTTTCAATCCCTTGTGCACTACAACTTACTACATCTTTACTGGCTTCTCTACCCTTTCTTACTTCTCCCTTAGACTCATAACCAACCCGTTTGGTCCAATCCGTGATGTTTCCTCGCGACTTAATGATGGGGGTTTCAAAGGGGGCTAGTTAAAACATTTTTTGGCAGGGCTCCACTATCAAAACAACAGTGGCAGGACCAATTTTTCAATCAGGAATACGGAGGCTTTTGAGCCCACTGGCATGGCCATGTTAACTCATACACTGTAGAAGTGTACACAGATACAAGTAGCCATGACAAATATCATAAAATCCGATATGAAAAAGCTACGGGAAGAAAATGAGATGGGGCGATCTACACCTGGTATTGTTTTTTCATCGAAAGGGGAAACAAACGATTGTTGCCAAACACAAAATAGAGGAGACCAACCGACTTCTCCCCAAATTATGAAGCCCAACCGAAGAGACAGACGCTTTCTTGATATCGGACACTTCTCGGATAGAAAGCTCAATTGGTTGAAGAGGTTGTGTTGGTTGTGTTGATCCAACAAGAGTCGAGTCGGGAGTTGTTGGTTGTTGTTTCCTTGTTACTGTCGGGTTCTGGCTGGCACATCCGATTTGCACACCACTAAAGCACCCATACGGTCACCATGGTGTTGCTCCAGTTTGTTGCTCCAGGTGTTGCCATTCCTTGATTTGTCTGTGGCTTCAGTTGTCGGGTGTGGAGCTTTGATAAGATATTACCGCTACATGAGCCAAGCGTTGGATCCCTCTTTGGCTGGAGTGTGCCTTCCAATCATGTGGTATCGGATAGATGACTCAGATTGGTCAGAGTGTGTTGTTGTTATCCTCATCACTGAAGAGATAATAAGAATGGCTAGATAATGCCAGTGGAAAAGCAACTGGTACTGTACCACGCTACCACCACTACCGGAACGGGAGCGAAGCGTTGGATCCCTCTCGATACGGTACCAGGTATGCTACTCTAGGCCGGCGACAGTCTATTGATGGTGAGACTATCCTCGCACCTCTACTATCAAACCTCCATCAATTGGACGAACCGTTGGATACCTCTCTACTCCATCGGTAGCTAGACTGACGGCAATGATCAAGAAGAGGGTATCGTCGTCGAGTCATTGAAATGCAACAATCAGCCCAAGGAGGCAACACGACCACAACATCAATTCATCCATCCTCATCCTCATTGTACTGGTATAGCTGATCAGAGAAATGTGAGTGGGGCAGCATATTGCCGCTGAATAAGCTACCATGGTGTCACCACTACCGAATGATGAATCGGCCATTCTTTCGCGAATTATGCCTGCCTGTCATTTGTGTGGTTATTGTAATCTTCGCACCTCTGCTATTAGTATGACAATTAAAAGCCACAGTCAATTGGAGAGTTTTCGGTTCAGAATTGAAAGCCATCCTCGTTGAGATCATACCGGCACGGAAGGTTTTCTTTTCTCGGCAAAGGACAGTCAAGTTGGACAACAAGGGTAAGTAACCAGTTTCTGCAGTTCAGCACAGATAACAAAACTCATATCTATTTGTTATTTTCTCTTCTGCACTGCCGAAGGCTGGTGAAATATCAGTGCCGAGTTCTTGTCGAGCGATCAATTGCTCTGGATAACAAGATGAGAGGCTGTCGATTGATTGCTCGCTCTCTTGCAACTCCAGCCCTACTTGAACAGATCGTCGTCGAGTTAAGTCATTGAAATGTTACAAGAGGAGGCTACATGATACATGATAGATTAACTTAAGAATTCACGATACACGACAACACACAAGAGACAGGATCCTCCTATCCAATTCATCCCTCCTGGTTATTTCCTACTGTTTTAAGGCGTGACGGATCTGGTAATAGACTGACAGGGATAAGTATCTCTGCAATGTGGTAAAGTTCTGGCTTTGGTACTCCTCACTCAACAATATGGTGGTGGAGTTTCTTCTGTGATCATCATGGAAAGTATCCACAATGTTGGAATGGTACTGATAGTGGTACCTGGCACTGTTGGCAATGGTAGTGATCATCAACAATAGCTGTATAGCAGTCAAGATTCATTCGTTGGTAATGGTCGTGGTTGTAACTGGCCGTGCCGACCATGTCGCATACACCAGTCTCTTCTTCAAGTTTTATTGCCCAGGTTGAACCATTCAGAACTGGTTGGCATCGACACTATGCATATTTGGTTCATGCATATCCATATTTGGTTCATGCCTTTTCATCCTTCCTCCTGATGGCAGTGTTGCTTCTTGGATGGCTTCTCTAGCTAGATACTACCTGGTATGCTGCGACGGCGACTGCTTCTTGGATGGCTTCTCTAGCTAGATACTACCTGGTATGCTGCAACGGCGACTGGGCAGGTCCAGAAACAATGCTGAAAGAACTCCATGCTAGCCAGCCAGCTGGTGGTACTAGTATACTAGAGCACGGTACTGTAAACTGTCAAACTGTCTAAATGGCATCAAACTGGTTTCCTTTTGCTAACTTAGGCTGAGATCTCCTTGGAGCCTCACGCACTTTCCGCACCATCTGTATCTCGACAACCTCCCTCCATTGTCTATGATATGGAGTCAAGGTGTCACAACTCCAACTTGTCCGCTTGACTTCCCCTGTGGTTCCACTCTCCAGACCTATCTGTGTCCCCTCTTGACACAATCTGTGCTTGAGTGTGCCTATACCCAGATAAGTTTCACACGCTCTCTCACTAACAAAACTTTGCTTTTGATATCACCCCGGTTTTTATTGCTTGCCACATTTCCACTTCTCTCCCCTGTCTGTTTCTTTGCTGCTGGCTTTTTCTCTCTCTGGGCTTCCCTGAGCCTCGGCTTGAACCTGCCCTTCTCCTTTGTGTGGTGGCCCATGGCTGGGTGGTGGTCAGAAGAGCCATTCCCCAGACTCAATCACGAGTTCTAGGTCGTGTCTCTCCTTGGGCTCGGCTCGGCTCAGCTCAAGCGTTGGTGGCTCGTCCCTCAGTCCCTGAGAGACAGCCAACAACCAACCAGCTGCTAGCTAGCTAGGCCCAGACAACAACTCCCAATCCAATTGCGGAAGGTAGAAATCAGCCCGCCTAGGGGAATCACGCTGTGATTCGATTCGCAACGTTCTTTTAAAAAAATTATTAATTAGAAACGACACAGCCAGATAGCACCTGGCCAGACCCAAGCAACCAGAACTGTGAGCAGCTTTTTGTAGAAACAGCTAGTCCAGTTAGTGCGGCATTTGATTTGTTCCATGCATAGCTAGCTATTGGCACCGACGCTACCGTAGCTAGAGGTCTGAGGGCATATACCACTAGCTGGCTGGCTGGCTAGAGTACGCGAACTTGTCTGCTGGTGTCTACCGCAAATCATCTATCTGCGCGCCCGTAGAAGCCGCAACCACTTACTTGACAGCTGCTACCTACTCCAAAACACAGGTGGTACCGACATTGCGTTTGTACGGGACCAGGACATCACATTCTCGCTGACTAATCGGGCTGTCATGGATCTTTTTTTGGCATCTTTGCTCTTCCTGATCGTATGCTGCCGTTTTGCAATGCCACTGAAACGGGTGGGCGTTCTTCGTTTGCGTCAGACCTTGCAACGACACTTTCTGCGACTTGTCGCCACTGTACTTCCAATTGGTACCCTCTCACACTTGCCACACTTGCGCATGCATGATCAGAGGCTGACTTGATTATGGAATGACATGGCATGATTTTGCCCCTCATCGATCATTGCACTTGAAACTGTGCACCGGAAAAGATGAGTCCCTGTGGAGGGGCAGGCCTTGCGGTTTGTCTTCGATCTTTGGTCTCGAGTAACTCCACCAAACGCCGTTTGCTGCTACCGGCATCAGTAGAAGGATCATCATCATCATCACGAGGAGATGCGGATACGAACGTCAAGGCTTCTCGCAAGACTGTTGCTACGAGTATCCGCACCATGCGACGCAAGAATCGATCTCCCACGAGTTGAATGCAGAGAGCCTGCTCCTCATGGTCATGGCTGCTGGTGGAAGTGGACGCAAGAAATGCACGAGCCACAGTCAAGCGACACTGCGTGCTTTGTGTTTCCACTTTTCCATAGGACATGGCAATAAAGTCCAATGATGATTCATCATCATCTTCCGCAGAGCTTACGACAAGCGATTTCAACAGTTGATTGATCACGTTCAAAAAGTCGTGTAGGGTAGTAGTTTGTTGTGTGGATTGTTGTTGTTGTTGTTGTTGTGATTGTAGCAGTAGTTGTTGAATCGGAGGCACGTCCACGACGTACAAGTACGCTCGACAGTTGGCCCCAAATGTCGGGTGAAACTTGGAAGAAACCGGTGTCACGGCCACGCAAGCAAAATCGAGACCCGCCCGAGGATGTTGCTGCAAGTGTTCCCAAATGATTTGCTCGGGAGGCAGCACGGAGGATGGCCCAAAGTGGTTGGTGGTGCTTGTGGCATTGTTGTTTGCTGGAACAACAGCAGCAGCAGTACTGTTGTTGTCAACACTACTACTAATCCACGTTCGAAATCGAGAGACTTGTCCGACGGCATGGACTCCGGCATCGGTTCGTCCTGCCGATCGCAAATCGACGCGCTTTTGTGGTGCCTTTTGTCGTCGTTTTTTGGGCCGTTCGTACAGGAGTGGTTGCAACCAATCTTCGAGTGTTTTCTGTACGGATGGTAAGGGATTGTTGGGATTGGTTTGCCATCCACAAAAGGCATCTCCACGATAGGCGATATCCAACCGAAACGATGCACGATACGCCTTGGTGTTCTTGTTGGAAGGGGGGTGGATATGTATGGCAGTAGTATCCTTTTTTGGTTCAGCACCACCACCATCACCAGCATCCAGTAGACGTCCAAAAAGCTCTTGGTAGTCTTCTCTGGGGAGTTGGCAATGATTATAATGATCATGCTGATTGTCTTCTTCTCTCAATGGTGGTGGTCTTGGTGGTGAAGCAGAAGAAGAAGCGTTGTCAACAATCACAGACTTGACAACTTGATTGGCAATGGAAAATGGATTCTGATTCCACAGATCTTGCAAGACTCTTTCTTCACGGGAAATCTCCTGTAGTTGAGGTTGCTTCTGATACGTGTTGTACTGCTTGTCATTACTATTTGATGGTGGTGGTTGTGGAGAATCACTGTTTGACGAGAGGAACTGGATGCATGGAGACGGATTCTTCAACCATGATGTCGTGCTGGTAGCAGGAAGAAATCCAGAGACTCTTCCAACAAACAACAAGAAATACATCAGAATGATCAGCATCACACCTTGCCTCGCCATCGCCGCAATCCCTGTGTCTGTCCACTTCTTCTTCCAATAAGGTCTGTGATCTGCTCAACAGCAAGCGAGGAATCATAAATAAATACATGTAAGGTTGATGAGGAGGTTGGTCAGGAAAATGAAACGCTAACCCTACAAAAGCTGCATGGCAAGTTTTTAATCCACGTCTGGGCACACGACTGTGGCCACTTCGAGACCGACGACGAGAGGCTCATAAAAGTAAGTGAAAGCCCCGACACAAAAACGAACACCACCACCCAAGAATCCACAAACCTCCTGGACGTGCTCCTTTCCACCGCTGGAACCAACATTTGGGAGTTTGTATCCTTTGCCGATCACCAGCGCCTCTTTTGTGTGTGCCGCGATCTTTGGAATCACACACCAACCATACCAGAAACGACATCACAACGGTTGCGCGAAGTGGATTTGTTGCGGGCCATTACCCGGTCCGGATCCACGTACCCAGAACGTTTCTACCAGAAAATGGCGCGCTACATCCAGAAACGACACTACGTCGTGCGATTTTATTGTCAAGGATCCGACACGGTGGTCCACTATCCAACTCTAGCAGAAGGATTTCGCGCCGTGCTCGAAGCTTCGGAAGTGAGCTTTCAGAACGAGTGGTTTGGTCGTCTCCCGGATGTCCATGTGCTGAATGGTCGAGACGAGGACGACGAGGACGAGGACGACGAGGACGAGTCCTGCCACCACTCGGAAAGTGAAGAAGAAGAAGAAGAAGAAGGAGGAGAATCCTGCTACTCGGGAAACGAAGAAGAATCCTGTGACTCGTCGGAAGACGCGGAATTGGATGATGAAGAGGCGAGCACAACATCAACCACCGCAACCGCAACCACTGAATCAGCGCCAACAAGTTGTGAATCTCGATTTTGCTGCTGTAGAGGAGAGCAGCTGAATGATCCTGCGCCTTTATTATTATTGTACAAGTTGCCGAGTGGTCGATTCTATTGCGGTGCTTGTTTGGACCGTGATTTGGGCTTGGCGCTCCGATTCGCGCCGGGACGTGTGAACCAGGCATACTACTACATGGATTGGGGTTGGGACGAACATGAGCATGCCTCGGAACAGTTTCAGGACAGTCAAGAGGACGACTCTGGAACCAACACTGAAATCGTGGGTGGTAATTACTGGCCCCTTTTGCTTTGGACCTGGGCGCCGTATGCAAACCAAGACCTCTTTTTTGTGGGACTAAACGAGGGGGCTACCACTGGTGTAGGAGTGAGGGAGCCCCTATGAATTAATTGTTGGAGCTACCATGCAGGACAAACGAGGTCTTTCAACGCAATTTTGCTTTGCCGAGACCGAAGCATGCAACACCAGCCGGAGCGCTGGCCCCAACGTAGGGCAAAGCGGTCCTGGACTACATCCTACAGTATGTAGAAGAAGAGGACTACATGTAGCTACTAGCCAGGACCTTCCCGAGCGGCCTCACACTAGTTCTGACCACCCGTAACGCTGACCCAGAAGTTGGGACCAACAGATCTTTTGCTGCCTGTTGATTCGCAAGAATCTGACAAAGTTCTAAAATGAAGTTGCTTCCTATGGGAGCCTTCTAATTTGCAAAGCCTGCCGCCCACCTCTCCATAGTCCCATCTAACCCATGGTAACGCCTCTTCAATCACTTCTTCTCTATTCCAAGACACTTACGCATCTTCAATCACTTCTTCTCTATTCCAAGACACTTACGCATCTCATCGTCCAACTCCTCTTGGGATTTCTCTCTTTTGTCCGCCTTGACTTCATTTTCACATTGCGCTTTTTCCCTTTCATAAATTTTGATTTTCTCTGCTGGGGTCAACTCCAGCATTGCCTTCTGGGGAGTTGCGATTGAAAAACTGGCTGTAACGGTTGCACTGTCTAAAGCAGGTAGTCGATAGGGCCTAGGTACCCTATGGCCATACTTCTTTGGGTCTTTACTGCCACGCCAAAACCAATACTCTTCGTTGCGCTCATGGGCATGCATCTTTGGAGCGCCATGGAAGTGCCATGTTTGGATAACTGTGCAACCATTGACATCCGTCGCTTCTGGGAGCCCTTCCATGAGGGCCCAAAGTCCCGCATTTTCACCACCAATTTCATTCATTTTGAAGAAGGCAGAATCACGCCTCCTGCTAGTCGCCCAATGAACTGTTGGGCGCTTGAAGCTTTCAGGATGCAGCCGACCGGCCACTAGTTTTCTGTGAAAGACATAGGCATCCCAGGATTTTTCCCATTCTCTGCATCTGGATGGAATCTCCGTCTTGTACTCTGTAGAGTTTGTCCCATGGATGAAGATGAAATGATCCTTGGTTGGGGAAGGCACCCTATCCATGTACAATCCCCAGGTTGGCAGCGCCAGTACAGTAGTGAACTTGATGTGTTTTGCCCATTGCACTGATTCATCAAATGCTTGATCAGCATTGGCCAAGATAACAATTTCACTGGTGATGAGTCCAGGGTTGGTTGCATACATGAACATGTCGAAATAGTTAGGTTGGCCAACCCAAACGTCAACGCAATCAAGGACTGCCCGCTTTTGACTCTTGTAGTCTGTAGAATTCACATCAATTCCCATGAACTGATTGTATTTGGCAGCATGCTCTGCCATTCTTTCCTTGAAGTGCAAACAGTTGCAACTGGTGGTGGCCCCATCGAGGATCACGACAACTTGCTCAAAGTAGGGATTGTTGAGATTGTTCAGGATTGTCACTTCGATTTCTAGGCGATGCAATGTGTTGTGACTCTGTTCTTCGGGTGGCTGAGCCCAGTAACTGGTGACGAGTGAGAGGCTTCCTGGTTTGGCAGGAGGGAGGATAACAGGCTTTGACCCATAGGAAGTTGGCACGTTCTGAAAGACAGGTTTACTTGCGAAAGCGTCTTGGATTGGGTTCTCCGGTAGGCGGTAGGGACCAGGAACGTTCTGGCTCTTTGCCGCTGAGTTCTGGTGCCACAAACCATAACGCCGCATGTGAAAGTTCGGCGAATCATGAAGATGCCATGACCGAATCACAGAGCATCCGTTGAAATCCATTCCACCGACATCACCTGCGCTTTGCATAAGACCCCACAGAGCCGCCCTTTCGGCGTCTGGTTCATTCGTAAGGAAAGGGCCCAGCTTCCTCTTGTTTGTAGTTTTGCGCATGAAGGATTCCTTGTTTACCCGACCCTGCAACAGCTTCTTGGGGAAGACATAGGAATCCCAGGACTTGGTCTCATAATCATTGCATTTGTAGCTGATTCCATTCTGGTACGCTTTGGATTCGTTACCAAGAACAAATCGAAAATGTTCTTTGACGGGTGACGGTGTTGCATCCTTGTGGAACCCCCAGGTTGGAAGTACCAGTACAGTGTTCCATTTGATGTACTTGGCCCAACCGACAGTGTCATCAAAAGCTTGGTCAGCGTTGGCCACAATGACAATTTCGCCAGTGACATGTTGTCCAGTGGCATAGTTGAACAGCTCATGATAGTGAGGCTGGTACTGGATGTTGATACAATCTAGCACTGGCATTTTTCTTTTCTTCGTACTTTGATGATGATATGTGTCATGGACAAGGTTGCTCCCCATTTTCTCGTTGAATTCTTGCTGCAGCTGGTTCATGCGGTCTTTGAAATGGGTACAGTTGGATTCCCAGTTGGCACCATCGAGGATGACAAGAACTTGGTCAAAGTGAGGATTGTTGATGTTGTTGAGCATGGCTCCTTCCATTTCTTGACGATGAACACCCTTCCTTGCCGCCGGTGAGTCGGCCCAGAAACTTGTGACAAGCGAGAGAGTATTATTATTTTCGATCAGAGCTTCATTGGCGTTGCCATTCAAAGCAGAGAGACCACTGGCAGAAGTTCCAGTGTCAACATCAGTATCAGGCTTGATGTGTGGAGTATCAGCATTCGGCTTGATGGGCTGAGTGTCAGCCCGCTCCAAGTTGAGACGGATGGAAGTACTGGTATTAAAGGAAAAAACGATGCCTCCATTCTTCAGCTGGCCAGACTTTGCAATTTCCGATGGGAACAGGAGAGCCAACAAGCTCAGCACGATGCAGAAAAACCAGTAGCAAGCCCTTTTTCTGCTTCCACGGGGAGTAGGAAGAGAAATTGGAGTTGAGCTCATGGTCGTGTTGGCATGGGGATCGAAAGGTTGGATAGTTGTGGCTGCATTCGAGTTGGTTCCTCACAGACTGTCTCTCTACATATGGTGGGAGGTTGGTGGTTGGCGTACGATGTATGCACAGCCAGAAGAAGGTGGCGCGGACCAAAAGAGAGAAAAGGTTTTGTTAAATCTCTGTAGCAGTTCGTGACTGAGTTTCTCACTTGACGCCAATTGCCCTCGGTACTTGCACAGGCCATATGGTATAAACGTCGCTAAAGCATATACCCTGTTAACCTAGGCAACATTATCTCTAGTTAAACCCATTCGAAAGAGCACGGAAAACTGTACGATACATTTTCAAATTTGATGTAAACGTCCCTTTATACCATGTTGGGACGGCTTCGTACTTCTGCTGTAAAGATTGCTTCGAATCGATCCACCATGAGCATAACCAACTTGTTGTTTTCGGCCGCTACAGACCATCCAAAGCTCACTCTAAGGTGACGAATCTCTTGTTCATATGGTTATTATTAGTGGATATACGGTACCTAATAACAGGAGAAGACTGACTGAAAGTTGGAAGAAGATCGGCACGACCACAACAACATTTCTTCAGACTGATTGCGCTGATCCTGTTGCTGAAACCGGACCTTTTCCTGTTTGCCATTTGCCATGGTTAGAACTACCAGTATTGTAAATAGAGAGTTTATCGTCTGTAGATTTAGCGTAAGTCTCTCTTGTTATGTTGTCGTCGTTCTTGTCATCTTGATGTTGGTTGGAGGCCCAAACTGTTGAGGTCCAGCCTGGCTGACGAGCTGACGAGGCATGGACGATCGAGGATGACTCGAAGAACTAAACCGAAGGTTCTTGAGCTGAAGATCTTGTCTTGGGATGCTCAGGTAGACTAGTCCTGGTTGTGACTGATACCCCGACCCAAGCAGTTCTTCCAAGAGGTTTCGGCGCGTACGGTACCGTGGTGGTACGGTACGGCTGTACGACTGTACCTCTTCCGCGATGGTGGTTAGACTAACTATTGTACTCCGATGAATGGGGTAATACAGGCACAACTCCATCTTCACTTTTTTGCCCGCAAGGATTGAATCATTCGAATCGAATCTTCAATCCGATTTCAGCAGGTCGGATTCCCTGATTGCCTGGCAGTTCTCTGCGATGGATTGCTCGGCTGCTTTTGGAAGGCAAACAGGCGAACAGTCATTCCAAATTTGCTTCCCACTTGTAGATGAGAAGAATGGTTGGCATGCCCCAGCACCGCAGGCATTAGGACCATCATGCATTCTCATCATGCATTGGAAGCAGAAGCTGCGGGGTTAGCTGTACCGCAGGCATGTTCCACAGTCTGGCTAGCCATCTCACCAGCTAGTAGCTAGTGAGCCCAAACATGATTCTCTGGGTTTTTGGCCAGCCAAACCGAAAGCTTACCAGTAGTCATTCCTTGATGTGCCAATGGCCAATCGTCCTGTAATGCAGGTTTGAAAACGTTGAGGTGGGGAGCTGGTGGGAGGAGGAGTAGAAAACTTTCAGCGAACTTTTGGTAAATTTCTTTTGGTGAAGATTCGATTCGAGATCATTCTTCGATGGCACTTCGTAGCGTACGGTACGGCTGTATGGTCATACCTACTTTACCAAGGGAATATATATAATACAGTACTGTATACAGTATGCTTTATTGAAATAGTGACAATCAGTTAGTTTTGTTATGACCTGCATGTATTGACGCGACACACGACAGGACAGAGATGTAACAGATGTTCTATTGATGCGATGCATACAAAGAGTGGTTTCTTTACTGGACAAACCTGAAAGATGGAGTAATTAAATAAATTTTCATTTAAAATGTTACCTTACCTACCGATACGTTTATTTTCAGAACACGGACTCAAGAAAAACGACCGTCTGACATCATTGAAGTGGGTTAGATGGTGCATCTATGGAATTAAGAGCTGATTCCGTGCGGTAGCTGTCGTGATGTCCACTTGAACTGGTTTTATTGGCTTTGTGATCTGATTGGGGCGCTTATTTCCTTAAACTGCTGTGTTTAGCGGAAGCTATGGGTACGACGGACATGAAGCTCCACTCTTTTCTAGCCAGAATGAAAATAAATGCAGGATTTACCTTTTACCGGCATGCAGGTCGTGTACCGGTACCGTACAGTCGTACTCGAATACGTCATATTTTCATTTGAGCTGGACTATTTGTCTGCACTCCAAACCTACGTTTAAGAAGGGTGAAATTTCAGTGTTGCTTCCTTGGGTTTTCTTTCCTCGCTGCACAGTTTCTGGACCCTCAGATTGTTTCTTACACAGCAGCTAGCTAGTAGCGAGATTTCAACATACTGGTAGAAGTTTCTTACTTTGACCAAGACTAAATAATAATGTATGTGGCCAGAAAGATAGATGGTCAAACTTACGAGGTGTACCCAGCACCTGGCATCATCCGGTTTTGTACTTAGTAGTCTGCCTTCTTACTTTACGGTCATCATGTGTGCAAGGCCTATTGCCCGATTCGAGAATTATGGGGTAGCTGCGGCTGTAGGCATCTCGGATACTTGAGTTTGACGCAGACACGAATGCGGCACCGTCCATCTGCTTCCAACGCCAAAATGCCAGCTATGCCGCTCAGCTCGCTTCAGGGGTTCTCAATGTATGTGTGCTCAACGCTGCATGCGGCTATTTATTTTCTGTGCTCTAAAAATGTCGCGTCAACAGTGTCAAATAATACTGTACGTCAATACCAGTACCCCAGTACTACTACTACTACTGCTACTACTAGCTAGCTAGCTGGCTCTACTAGTCTTCCAGTCAAGCTTTTCTGGAGTGATGACCTCCCTCCCAACACTAAACACAGAACCCACAGCCCACAAAAAGAGAGATTGGATCAACCAAAGAGAGGTACTATCATCAGACAGAGACATCCATCAAATCCAAATAAAAGAAAGAGTGAGTAGACCATGACATCGATTCCGCTGGAACCGGAATACCAAGAACAACTCTTGGCAGTGGTGCCCAAGTTTAGTGCAGCGTTGGGATTACCCTCGTGCATTCTGCTCATGGCCGAAGTCTTTTTGGCACATGGCTTGCACAATCCGGCGCTGTCCAAGGGCGGGAATCCTATATTGCGTTCGTTGGCGTTTGTGGCATTCTTTCAAGCACTCGATGCGCTGGGATGGTTTTTGAGTACCTGGGCGGTACCCGCGGGTGACTTTGCCTACTCGACTGGGAATATACAGACATGTGACTTTCAAGGATTCCTGTTGCAAGTGGTGATTGGCGCGCCGTTGTTTAGTTGTGCCATGGCGTGGTACTTTTGGTTGATTGTGGCACGAGGCAAGACGTCCCAAGAGTTGTTGGTGTACGAACGATGGATTTCTCCCATTATCGTTCTGTATGCATTTGGATCGTCCTTTTTCTTGTTGGGCAAGAAAATGTACAATCACATTGGAGCCGTCTGTTGGATACAGGGATCTCCGCCGGGGTGTGGCAATAGCTCGTATCGCGGAGGAGGCGAACCCTGCGAACGAGGCGACTGGGCGTGGCTCTACGGGATGGTCATGTTCTATATTCCTCTTTGGATCTGTATTCTACTCATTGTCATTTTCAATATCTCCAACTACGTGAAACTACGAAGAGACGGAGACTCTGGAGAAGCACGGTGGTTTGCTGCACAATCGGGTCTCTACGCACTTGCCTTTGTCGTCACATGGGCACCCTCCACGACCTGGTCCGGGTTGCATTGGAAAGTCGACGGGGGATCTTTTATCGTGGACATTTTGGCTGCGTGGTTTGAACCCCTCGGTGGCTTTTGGAACTTGCTCATCTTTCTCCGCAATCGACCGGCATCGCGACGACGAGTCATGCGACTCGTTTGTTGCGAATGCTGTGAACCAAACGACGAAGATCACGATGCCATCGATGCCGATGGACCACCTCCCAAGGAAGTACCACCTCCGCTCCCCAAGCATTTCCGACGAAAACCCGGCAGTAGTGCGGGTGGTGGTGCTAGTGCGCAGAATCGATCGGTCGATGGTTTTGAAGATGAACAAGAAGAAGAACAACGCCACACGTCGGCACGACGAAACCGTCAACGACGACCCAGTGATACCCACGATGAATCGGCGTCGATGCTGGAACAATCGCCGGATGCGTAAGCAAAAGCAAGATTTTCCTGTATCAATAATAGATACCGATCAGAACGCCAACGACCTCCAAGGCGCGAACATGGGAACGACTGGAAGGATCCACTGTTTCATTCATAGCTACCGTACCGTACCAAACCGTACGGTACACGAGCTAATCAATCATTGGCTAGCTGCATACCGAGGACGTGCCTCCGAGGCGCTATTACAGTACCGCACCGTACCGGTACCAGGGCGGGCATTGCTGGACAGGAATTGCAACGCAATCCTACAGGCTACTGGGGCAAACTTTTATAATTCGAATAATACAGTTCATTTATTTCACAATGGTGCCAATCGTTTTTACTGTACTGTAGCACAAATCGTACCTTGTGCGCACCTAATCAATCTGCAATCCGATGCTTGGTCAAAGAGCGAGCGAGCAGGGAGATAGAATCTGACTTGCTGGCTGCCTCCTTGTAGAGCCAACCAAAGATGTCTTGGACAATACGGTACTGTATAGACTTGGTGGTACCGTAGTGGACCGATAGATGGCTAGATAGATAGATAGATAGATTTGTCCTCTGCACCATACACAACCAGCTGGTATCCATCTTTAGAATTGCTTGTACTCTTTGGCTCATCGAGCCTGGATGGGGGGCAAATAGCCGCCCGAGCAGCATGACTGGCCATGACACCCCTCGCTGACTCCTGCTGGACTGCGGCTCCTCGGTCCCATCGCCTGGCTTCTGTAGGTAGGCATAGGCCGCCGCTGTTGGGATGGTGATGACTGCCACCATCTCCTCGTGGCATGAAGTTTGGCACTTGACTGAGTCGACTCAATCGATTCAACACGGAAGTGCCCACGACCACAAACCCCAGAACCTCTATCCACAATCCACAACCAACGAAAAAAAAGGACACCGGAGGTGTAATAGACATACCGGGCGAGCTGAGTTAAAAGATGGGCCGGCATAATAATATTGTTAAAGTTTGGCTGAAGGTAGTGTCATTAGATTTTTCCGTCTGAGAAAGTGGCGTGGTAGCTTACGGGAGTTTAGAGGTGTGCAACGTGAGACGAAAGATTTTTTCGTCTGAGAAAGTGGCGTGGTAGCTTACGGGAGTTTAGAGGTGTGCAACCGGAGACGTAAGATTTTTCCATCTGAGAAAGAGGCATGGTAGCTTACAAGAGTTTAGAGGTGTGCAAGGCCAGTCATTAGATTTTTCCATCTGAGAAAGTGGCGTGGTAGCTTACAAGAGTTTAGAGGTGTGCAACGTGAGTCATTAGATTTTTCCATCTGAGAAAGTGGCGTGGTAGCTTACGGGAGTTTAGAGGTGGGCATCATGAGGAAAATATTAGGATCCGTTGCTACCGTATGATTATTATGAGAATGCGCGAGAACGAGGGGGTTGAAGTAAATCTCTAACCCTAAGGATAACCAACCAACCAAACCCACTACCACCACAATAAACGGGGTCAGAGATCACCGGGGTCTGCCCGGTATATAATTTGAAGGATCTTCACTTTCTTGGGACTTGTTTCTCCACTGTACCATTACCAGAGCTAGCTATGGCTACAGCACATTGAAACACCAACAAAAAGCTGGCACACGTCGTCATGAAGGCACTGTTCTTCCTGCATTCCTATTATTACTATTGGTATTTTTTTTTACAAATCTTTGCTTTCCAAAAGGCATGCGGCTTCAAGGCTCTTCCCAGTACTTGGAATCGGCCCCGTACATGTTGTGGACCGTCCTCTATGGTTGGGAGCCACCTTGCCAAGTACACAACCATGGCGACTGAAGAACAGCGCAAAAAAGGGCTCCAAAAGAGGCTAAAAATGACAACGAAAGAAATTGACGCTGCGATTCAGAGATGGCCAAAAATGCTGTCTCTCAAAGAAGAAAATGTGCTGCACACAGCAGACTGGATCCAAGAATATCTACAACTCAAAGACAGCACCCTCAGAAAGATTGTCCTCAAATGCCCAAGCATCCGGGGCTGCAATGTGAACACACTGGAGGGAAAACTGAAGTACTATTACCAAGAAACCTTTGGTTGGACGATCAAGGACCTAGCAAAAGTCATGAGGGCTTTTCACATTATGACTCTTTCCATTGAAGAGAAAATTGAGCCAAAACGACAGTGGTTGAGCACTACATTCAATGTAACCAATGAGGACATCTCCAAACTCATCATGAAGAACCCAGCAATATTTGATGCTAGTCTGAATGACACGGCTGACAGATTGGAATTCCTCCAGGACCAGTTGGAACTCAATTCAACAGAAACAAAATGGAAGTTTCTATGGCAAGCTCCAAATGTCTTGGCCTTTACAAGGGACACTTTGAATGACAAGCTTACTTGGTTCCAATCATCTTCCCTTGGCCTTACAAAAAGCCAGACAGCAAAAGTGATCAGAAAACAACCAACATTGCTTAGCACTAGCATTGAAAATAATTTGGCTCAATTATCACTTTGGTCACAGTGAAACCAGAAAGCTGGTAACAACCCTACCTGCCATTCTTGCAAGCAGCATACACAACAAACTCGAGCCACAGCTGGAGTATCTACAAGGCACATTTGAACTCCTCAATCAGACTGAACTCTCAAATATGGTTTGTAAGAATCCTGCACTGCTGGGCTACAAGCAAGCCAGCATAGAGGAAAAGATTCAGTTTTACTCGACATATGTTGGATAAAGGCCTGAGGCACTTGCAAGTATTATCAGAAATCCATGTCTTTTGAGTGCTAGCTAGCCTCGAGAAGAAGCTAAAGCCAAGATGGGAACAAATAGTTGAATTTGACCTGCCATAGCATGGATTCGTTGTACCAATGACTGTGCTTGCAGTGTATTCCACTGCAACTTGGGCAACATATCTGGAACGAAGAAAAGTGATGATATTGGCGATCGAGGCGAGGAGGAAACTAGATTGAGGGCCACTAAATGCTGAAGTATCCAAAGTAGCTCCTCTGACTGGGTTTTCTGCTTGGTGCCAGGATAGACTGTGAGCTCTGTTTCTTCTTTGCTGGCCAGAGCAAATCCTTATCATGTGTACAGTGCATCTCCATAAAGCGAGAGGCCAAGGTTTGGAAGAACAGCAACAGGAGAAGCATGCAAGCTATGGTGAACAAGCTCTGGTGAAAAATCATGCATCTTATTTACTAAAAGCTTTGGTTGTTATCAAGTACAAACACACTTATGTTGTTACTAATAAGTCTGCCTGCCACCCCTGTAGTCACAAGGTCATCTATCAATGCAGAAGGTTGGATGATGCACCACTTCCGAGTTCACACTGTACTGGTACCAGGTACGGGCACGGGCACGGGCGGGTTGGAAACAAAATCGCACTAATAATACTGTAGACACGCACAAAAGAAATGGTTTTAAGGTGCTCCGTGGGGGGCAAATTTTGCAGATTGCGGGGGGCTAGAGTACTGTATGGCAGAATATGTGGACCACCTACATGTATTGTGTGGAAAGGCAAGCAAAGGGGGCAAGAAGGAAGGGGTCTTGCGTGTGTGGGGTGTGCTTCGTTAAAAATTGTTTGTGGACTCGACTCGCTGCTTTGGAGTTGGCTGTGGATGGCACCAGGATCCAACACTCTTAAAAATAGTTGTTACTACAGTTGTGAGAAGCCATGGGACAGCAGCAGGAGTTTCCCAAGGTCGGCATAAAGGTCAGCCACGTAACTGGAGCTTTTCTAAAAGTCCTTGGAGATCGCAATGCATTGTCGAAATGACGCAAACCCACAGAACGTCGTATTGCGACATGTTGTTGGTCCAGCAAGAAGAAGAAGAAGGACAGGAAGAAAACGTCTGTCTGGAAAAACCCGATGCGTTCATCTCTCATGCTCACGACCTTCTCTTTGAGGATCTGATCAGTGCATTGGCATGGCACTTTCGAAACGAAGCGAATGCGTATGTTTGGCTGGATCTCTTTTCCATCAACCAACACGAGACAATGGAATGGACCTTTGAATGGTTGACTTCCACATTCCGGAACAATCTGGCAGAAATCAATCGAACCGTCTATGGTCATGAGTCCATGGAACAATCCACTTCCGTATACTCGCGCCTGGTGCGTATTTGAGGCATTTGCCACGGTGGAAGCTTCGGGAGGATTTGAGATTGCCATGAGCAAGAACGATGAGGCGACTTTCCTGTCGGATATTCAAAATGACGCCATTGGAAGTATCCACCAATTTCTGGCCACTGTGAGCTCGGAAAGGAGCCAATGCATGAAAGAAGCTGACCGTGAATCCATCTTTGCCGTCATTCGAGAGACAGTCGGTTTCCTACAGCTGGATTCCATGGTATTTGAGCGATACCGAGAATGGGTCCTTCAAGTGGCCCAAAAAGCATTGGAGGCGTGCGACGGTGAAGATGGAGCCAGTAGTAGCAACAAGAAAATGCTGTACTGTTACGCCATTGGTGGCCTCTACGGTGGTCAGGGAAAGCACCAGGAGGCAATACGCTACAAGCAGCTGGCTTTGGATGCAAGCAAGCGTATTCATGGGGACGACCACCCTGACACACTCAAGGCAATGAACAACCTAGCCAATTCCTTTCAAAAGCAGGGTTTGTACAGCAAGGCAGAAGAGTTATATCGTTCTTGTCTAGAAAAGAAGATCTCCACGATTGGGAGCAACCATCGTGAAACCCTTCGAACCACAAACAACCTCGCCAATGCAACGCGAAGACTTGGACGCTCCGAGGAGGCAGAGAAGCTGTACAGGACATGTTTGGAAAAGAAGTTGTTGACGCTGGGCCAGGACCATCCAGAAACCCTCCGAACCATGAACAATCTTGCCATTTCACTCCAAGATCAAGGTCTACACCGTGATGCAGAAGAGACATTTCGTGCCTGCCTCGACAAGAAAAACAAAGTACTGGGCACGGACCATCCCGAGACTCTTCGCACCGCCAATGCTCTAGCGGATTCACTACGACACCAAGGCCAACTGGCCGAGGCACACGAGTTGTATCTCTCCTGCCTAGAAAAACTTACGGCCATTATGGGCGAAGATAGTCCGGAAACGCTGCGAACGACGCACAGCCTTGCCGTGCTACTGCGTGATCGAGGCCTTTGCAACGAGGCGGAACGGTTGCTTCGAACCTGTCTGGGAAATCGTAAGGCTGTCCTAGGCGACGATCACCCAGAGACGCTGCAGAGCATGTATCACCTCGCCTGTCTGCTCTTTCATCACGGTAACGAGGATGCACGAATCGAGGAGGCAAGCAAGTTGCTTCGTCTGTGCTTGGAAAGACAGATAGCTGTCCTCGGTGAGGATCATCCGTCCACGAAGGAAACCAGACTCAAAATGACAATGAGGCAGCGAAGTGCTGATCGCGTGGATGGGATTGATTGAATTATTGACTTCCAACCCAATCTTGAAGCCGTCCAAAACTACTGGCTGGTACATGGTGGACCACAATCCCCGCCTATCGGAAGTCACGACTGCCTCATTGCAACCTTGCAGCCGCAGTTGGAGTGCGCACTTGGCAAGCAAGAGGCATGCATGCGCCGGTACCTTGTAACGTGGGGACTCGATTCATTCTTGGAGAGCCCACGAGCCACAGAGTTGCTCCATCGCTGTTTCGATTGCGAGCGAAATGCATCACTTGCAGCTTCTATGATACGGTAGTCTAGCTACAACCCTGCCTGTTGTGTCAAGTACAACAGAGTGTGGAAGGAGCGTGAGGAAAGCACTGGAGCGCTGCAGTCCATCCTGGAAAATCCAACTAGTCTGCATTCCTCTGCTACATGTAGTAGCTTAGCTAAATAGTCCCCACCACGACTGCCTCATTGAACCATCGTCTAACAGCTCCTCTAACCCATAGTAATAGTGTAATAGTTACGGGATAGGTGCGCTAGATTGCTGGGGCAAAGCAACTCCAAATAAAGCACACGTGATGATCAGATGCCCTTGGGAGACGATCAGATGTCGCCTTTCGCCTTCTTAGTAGTCTAGTTAGGAGCTTCTACAACTCTCATAGTCTTCCGGTTGCGAAACCAAACAGATCTCCTTTTACGTTGCACCGACAAGGGTTCGACGTGACTCCTGGAGCTTCGAAGTGACACGGCGCGAAGATTTATTTGGTCGCACCAACGCCATTGGATCTTTGGGGATCACTTACTTCGAGTCCCACTGAATGTAAGAACGTTGAAAAAACTCTGTTCACTACCAGTAGGTGCTACAGTAGTTATTTAGTACCCCAGGAGTAGACTACGGTAGTTATCGGTGGAGTTCTTTATTCTTTGAGCACACCCGTGATTGTTGGCGTCTCATTTTTGTTGGTTTGAAAAAGATTCGCTGTTGTAGCAATCACTTCTGCCTTGAATATAAGATTCTAATTTGATGATCCTGTGGGTGGTTGTTGATCACGATCCAAGCCAGACTGTTGTCTAATAAAACAATAGTACCTGGTACTAGTAGAATAATATCTTATAATCAAGTTACACAAGTGTGAGCCCTACTGGTTACACGCAGCTAGTAGAGCCAGCTGAGCTACCTGTTTTACAGGCGCCATCTCACCAGGTTGCGTGACATCCTAAGAATGTCGGTTGTTGATAACGGCTACGTTTGAGACCTGGCAAAAAATGAGGCAATCAGTGACTAAACAAAAATGAACCATTAAAGCACCAAGAGATGCAGATAATAGATAGAGAGCTGTTGGTGGTGTACCGTACTGTACGGTACCGTATATCCCACGTGCTGTTCCATACGTTGAGCCGGCAATCTCGCCAAAAGAATCAAGACTGAACGATTGAACAGCTCACCAACCATTTTGTGAAGACGGACTGAACGTCAAGCAAGGCTGCATTTGAAGCTCTATCCGAACAGAGGTGGTAAATCCAAATCTTACTTACAATTCTCATCACTGATTGATTCCACCTTCACTTCAGAGTTCCCAAGGAGAGAAAGCAAGAAAATTCACCATGATGATGAAGATTAACCTTTTATCGATGTGCTTTGTGTCTCTGTCGTTGGTGTTATTGACAGTGCTGCCACACGCCTCCTTGGCGCAACTCGAAGGAGAAGATTTGGCATGGGCGTATGTTTCGTTGACAATTCCACAAGGCAACTTCACCGGCAACTACACCGTCAGTGTCAATCGCGGTCGACCCATGGCTGATTCGATCGAAACCGATGAACCTACCAGCGCACCGACAGCACCGCCCACACGCAGTCCTACACGAGCACCGACTCGAGCTCCCACCCGGGCTCCAACAAGAGCTCCCACAAGAGCACCCACACGAGCACCCACAAGAGCACCCACTCGCAGTCCGACTCCAGCACCGACTCTCACTCCTCAAGCACCCAATTGTCCCTTTTGCTCCAACGGCGCATCGGTGCCACCGGGTCGATCCCCGCTCATTCGCATGCCCGATGGCGTCATTCAATCCTGTCATGGCTACGAGCAGGTGGCGACTCTCTTTTACAATGAACCGGACTGTGATGTGTTTGGACCCGTCCTCAATAATGTGTCGCTGACAGCCTACTGCGGATGTCCGTTTGACGATCCCCCCAGCCCACCCGTCTGCACGCTGTGTGCCAGTGGTGCCGCTCCCGCCGATTTGAATAAGGATCATCAGGGATTGACCTGTGAAAATTGGAATGATTTTGCTCGAGCGGCCTTGCAGGCATCGGTCTGTGAGGTGGATCTATTGAGTGCCAGAGCGGCATGTTGTTAGGCTTGGTCTGATTCTGATCTGATGCGATGCTACCAGGGAAACGCAAGAAAAAAACTTGCATGCTTTCTGTTGAGGGGTAAATGTGATGCCTACAACGTTTTATGTTCTATTTGTTTTGCCTCTCCTACCTGGATGGAGGCATACAGTATATCTACACAATTGTATATAAATTTTCTATAATGATTCTATCATCAGCAAATCAATTCATACGTATTCAAGCCGCCAAAATAGTAGTTTTTTCCTCACTCACACTGGCGTCATCATGCTGGTCCAAAGAATGCACCTTGGCTGCATGCAGCACTGCGGCTTTGTTGTTGGCAGAGTGAAATACCGGTGTTTCATTCCCAAGAAACAAGAGTCAGTGGAAATAGATCTAATGTTGAGACTTGTTTTCTCCCTGTGATTCCTCCACTCCCAGCAAGCCAAGGACGGCATGAATTGGGAATGGAATTGCTGTAATTGCAAATTAATGTACTAGCTAGTACATTTAGAGTTTGATTCGATTCGATTCTGCTTTGCTTATGTGGGCTTTCTTTTCGGCTCAGGGATTGCCAGGGGTGTTGCTTCCATCGTCATGCTGGACCACAGAATGCACCTCGGCCGCATGTACCGGTACCGTAGCACTGCGATCTTTGTTGTTGGTGGCAGAGTAAAATATCGTACCGGTATGGGCAATAATTGCTGCTGCTATCGGTTCGCCGTTCGCGAGCAAGAGCAGTCGGAAGATTTTGAAAATTGTGTCTGCCTGTGACTTCCTCATGCAGCAAGCAAAAAGACTGCCAAGGAAATGAAATTGGGAATGGAGTAGCTGTAACTGCAAACTGATTCGATTCTGTTGCTTATGTGGGATTCTACTCAGTGATCAGCAGGAGTGCTGCTTACTCATCAAAGAAAGAGGTTGAGTGCCCTGCTCTTATCGTTGCTCATCTCACTCACTCACTTGACTCCTCAAGCCTCTTGCTAGCTAGTGCCAAGCTAGTATAAATGCACCTTAGCTACGGTACCGTATGTGTAAATCTGTAGGTTTGGATTCCGTTCCAGCTATTAGTAGCACACGTTTATTCCTTCTTTTTGGTGGCGGCAGGAGCTGCTGCTGGTGCCGAAGTTGTCATGCCACGAAATACTACCACAAGCACCAACAGAATCAGACTGGCCACCACACCCATGACGGCCATTTTGCCATTGGGATCGGCCAATAATGTTTCCAAGGCCGAGGGAATGGGTGGAATCTCTTCCGCCGTCGCAATTTCATACTCGGAAATGGCAAAGTATTGAATATCTTCCATCGAATTGGTCCGGTACAGCTTGCCTTTCGACAAGACCACGGCGTGGGGAGCTCCACTGGATTCATAAAGAACATGAGAATGTAGATGCATTGGGGTGAGTGACTCGGTCAACCTAGGCTGGCTAGCCATCTACTGAAGCTAGAAGATGCAACCACAGACTCCATACTATCATACTGTACTTACGGAACACTGAGTCTCTGGACGGTGCTTGGATTGCTCGTGTAATCCATAATTCCCACCACGACGCCCTCTTCCAGCAACGTTTGCACCATGCTACTACCGGTAGGGACTTCTTCTTCTTCCTCTCCGCCAGAGTCGGCGCTGGGAGAAGTCAGCATCTTGCGCAACTCGGAATCGTTGCCATTGTGGAATAGGACCAGCCATCGTCCCGTCGTAGAACCTGTCGTCGCTTGTGTGTCATGTTCAAAATTGGCGTCGGTCAGCACGGCTATATCCTCTACTGCGAACACTACCGAGGAAAGGACGCAGAGCAGCAACGACGCAACCAACGGTACTAGTACGCAAATTCTTCTCGTCATCGTCATGGTGGATCCTGCACTCACTTGTTTTCTGATTGCCTTTTGCATAAAAAAGATTTGAGAAGCCCGAAAAAAGCTCCACGTGGAACACTCGATTTGGGCGAAACATGCATTGCTACTCTTGCGACAACCAGTATAATTTTTGACAACCAGTATAATTAACTGGAGGAGGGGGTAATTCACTAAAGATAAGTGGTGGAAGCCTCTCCGCATCACCCATTTTTTGAAGAAACTCACTTTTGACATCAGTTCATGCTGACAGAGATACCCCCAGCAGTTTGACCAATAGGGTCAACCTGACAATACTTTGAGATAGGGAATACATAATTTGGACGTGCCCGTCGCAGTGGTGATAGCCACTTGTCCATTTGGTGGCCATGGGAGGAACGAATGGCTGGCAAAGTAGGGCTTCCATTTCTGACCATTTTACACTAGTTTGACATAAGATAATGCCTTCTACGTGGCTGTCAGCACTACAACCAGCACATGGCTGCGACAAGCAAAGAATGTAGATAACTCTATATATTTGGCTTGGTTGTGTAGGTGCTATATTGGTTGAGTTCCTCCTGCATTCCTCCAGTAGCCCATTCAACATCAACACAAGAGATGATCTGACGATGTGAAGCAGGAAAAGCCTGTGTTTATGGTGGCAACTCTACTGCTTTCAAATTTTATAAAATTATACTGGTTGTTGTGAGAGTAGATTGGTGCTATCTTGGCCACGGGCATGAGGGACCGGCCAGAACAGGTCCAGATGTATGTGACACGTCGAGTGTGGTAACGTAGGGTCAGGTCTGGGTCCAGGTGTAGATCCAGGAGTTGAGCCAGGAGTCAGTTCTGGATCGAGGAGCTTAGCGAGATGGTTCTCCAGGCAAGTCTGGTCGTGGTGAAGGTCCTGGTTTGGGCTGGGAACAGATCGGGAGTTGGTCCATGATCGAGTACAGTAGATACTGGACCTTGATGCTCGTTTTTGTCAGCAAGGTGCAGGTCTCAAGTTTTTATTAATCTGTAGGGGAGCGTGGTCCAGCAGTTGGTTCTTCCGGAGTCCTTGAGCGGGGTGTTGGTCCGTTACAGTGGGGGGCAGAGTAGTCCCAGCATTTCTTGGGCAAAATGTTGCTCCGGAGAAAGGCCTTTAGCTAGTTCGGAAAGAAGCACGGTAATGGGGATTGTACATGTACGAGCTGGGGACAGGCAATAGCCGAGATTGGATCTTCCGTGACCATTGCGGGGGGGGG